GATAGTTTGAATAAAAGATAAATAAAGGTGTCTCGTAAAATTATATTAGTTAAAAATTGTTATCTAATGTAATGAAATTTAGTTATTTTTATATTATAGGAACATACAATGAATGTTTAAATCACCATCCAAAGTATTAGAAATTATGATAGACACAACTACAGTCAAATGATGGTAAGAAAACATACATGTCTATAAATTTCAAGATTCTAGAATATCGTTGATGATCACATAAAGAACGTATCACGGGAATTTATTTCATAAAATTATTTATTTATTTATTTTATGAAATTTTTAAAATATTATCGTTGATGGCATAAAGAATACATCGTAGGGAGTTATTTTGGAGAGCAACAAATGCACTTTACAGATAACAGGTAAGATGTTTTATTTATTTCTGTATTTTCTTAAGTCATACAAGTTTTACAAATTTTAATTACCTATTATTTCTTTTTTAAAAAAAAATTTATTTAAATTTTAAAAATTATTATATATTTGCAGATGGACAACAAATCATCACCGACAACTTAGTTATCAAGAATGCCGTTGACCAATTATCAAAAAAATCCATTGAATCGTTCAAGATGAAAAAACTTTAATACAATATGTAACTTTTAAAATTTATTTTATATAGTTTTGAATATTTTACAGTTTAAACAAAGAAATGTAAATCTTAAATTCACGCCATCTATGAAACGAATTCGAAATTGTTTATAGATTCCTTTTTATTTCTTTAAGAAAATAAGAAATGAGATAGAAGAAATCTGTAAACAAATAATTTTACTTAAAAAATAAATTTTTAATTGAAAATCACATATATTACAAATGTCTATTACGACATGAATTACTTTCCCTCTCAAAGTGTTATAATTAAGAAAAAGATAATAACGCGGGTAATTTTTGATTATCTTTTAATATATTTTCGAATAACTATAAGCATTTTAAATAAATTCACAAGTATTACAATACTTTTTCCATATTTCATAATATATAATTGCTTAAATCGTGATGAAATTCACATTAGGAATAAAATATTTTGATTTTCATATTAATAATGAAAATGTGTGACATCATTGACAGTTGTGAGGTTTCGCATACTGTGCTATGGTGCCTATCTGAATTTGTAACTGTTGTAGATAAAAGCATAGTTAAACGTTGATAAGAAAACGTACAAAATGTCAAAGGAAGCACAAATCAACAAATTTTGAAATTTCAAAGTATCATCGTTAATTTCGTGAAGAGCATATCGTGAGGAATTATTTCGGAGAGAAACAAATACGTTTTACCAATAACAGGTATTTTATATAGAATTTTTAAATTTTATACGATTTTATTTTTTATAACGTTTAATTCATTTTTGTTTCGCCTTAGATGATTACAGTATTCAACAATTTATGTAAAAATAAAACAACATAGATAATTGAACAATGAGATGTTTCATCATGAAGAATCCTTTAATTTAGTTAAGATAGTGTTTGTCAATAGTGACTGAAGGTACCTCGTCAAATTTCATACCATTATAAGAATTACTATCAAAACCTCTAAAGAAATCATCGATAAGAATTTACAAGAATCAACATCGAGAATAATATCACTTGAGTAATTGATAACAAACATCGGGTAAGTTTTTATTATATTCATATTATAAATCATAATTGATATTTCATATTAATATTTTATGTAATTTCTTTAAATTATATAATTAAAATTAATTGTGTTTTTTTCTATCATTAATATAACATTCATATTTAAATAATTGCTATACTTTTATACCTATTTCAAATAAACAATTTTAATTTCTCGAGATATTGTAATGAATTTCAATTTTTTTTAATATTTCATGATAATAAAAAATTTCATATATCTGGGCAGATAAAGAGCAAATCATCATTGATGATTTCCTTACGAACAATTTCTGGAACCAATCATCGGCAAAGAAGTCGCTGATAATTTGCATCGCCATTATGAATTGAAATCATCTAGAAGAGAAGAAGTTTTCCGAAGAATACAATACTTACATAAACATATTTCAATGTAACAAGTAAGTTTTTTATTAAGTAATATTATAAAATGCTTTTATTTAATTAGTTATGTAATTAAATCATTTTTACAAAGCATATAACTTTTAATAGGCATCTAATAATTTTCAATACAAAAGTTTTAATATTTAAATCATTTTACATTATGTTAAACTATTGGAGATGGACGTAATTCAATTTTTTAATTATTTTTATTAGATTTCAAATGTTATGTTTATTCCATTTAACAATAAAAATTTAAACGTTATTACGTTTCTGCAGATGGAAAACAAATCATCATGGACAACCGGATTATAAACAATACCATCAATCAGTTATTGCAAATGAAATCATTGACGATTTCATTCAAAGAATTATCATTACGACTTTGCAAGGATCATCATCATTTAGACGGAAGAAAATCACTTGAGGAGTATATCATTTCAATGGACAGATTTAAATATAGCAAGTAAGTTTTTCAAATATTCTTATATAAAAAGTAGTAAATAAGTGTATTAAAATTTTTCTTAAAAACAATATTTTTAAAGATACTTCAAAGAACACAGGTAAAAGCCGAACTATAACAATGAATTTTTAATATAGTGATATATTACATTCCAAATGACAATTGACATTGTAGAATTAATATTTTATGAAATTCTTTTACGAACTTATTTCAACAATTTCAATTATTCTTTGTTTTCTTTTTCAATTTAAATAATCATTTTTAATGCAACAAATTCACATTTAGTTAATTTATATATAATTTAAATTATATAAATTGTTTCCTTTTTTTTATTAAATATTAAAATATATTGTTTGAAAATTTAATTTTTATATTTCTTTAGATGAAAGAAACGACTATTATTCATCGAGTCATCGTCAACCCTGCTACCAAACAACTAATGGTGAAATAATTATTAGTTGGACATGAGGAGAAATCATCATCAATAAGCTAATTATAGAGAATATCATCAATTGCATGTAGGACCGTAGATGGTTTGTTTAGTTACATATAATAATACCTTCAAATATAATAAGTAAATTTTTAAAATTATTTCGGGTAGTAAATTACAAACGATATTTAGATTATACAATTCTTAACTGTTTCCTATAATTTTTAATATGTATTAATATTTTTTAATTCAATTAAGATTGATTATAAACAAAAAATTCTTATATAAATTAGTATTATTCATGTAAATATTTCTCTCACTTTCAAATTACAATATATATATTTTTTTCATATATTGAAAATAACATTATATATATATATATATATATATATATATATATATATATATATATATATATATATATATATATATATATATATAAAATATATATATATATATATATATATATATATATATATATATATATATATATATATATATATATATATATATATATATATATATATATATATATATATATATATATATATATATATATATATATATATATATATAAAATAATGTATGTAGTTTAAATATGAATGTAATTATGTACTTGAAATGAATTTAGAAAAATATGTTGTCCTATTATTAAAAAAAGAATTCTCACAATTGATAAATTTTTTGTACATGTAAAAATATCAATCAAATTTTTAAAATGTAAAGAAACAGTAATTTTAATATTTACAATATTTACATACTTTTAAAATATATATGTATTTTTTAATTGAACCAAGGCATGTAATAAATACATTTTTAATTTATATTTTTGTGCATTGTTAAATTTAACAGATGTATTATTAATAACAAACATTTATTTTTGTAGACACAAAGAAGATCCAACTATAATTTAAGGACAACAATCAATAACGTACGTTTGTGTAAAACAACATCTTCATCAATAATTGGAATGGTACAATTAATAACAATAAACAAGATTAGGAAAGCAACACATTTAATGGAATTCATGTACTTTTCAACACATTTCTTTAATTAAATCGATACGATTATTGAATTATATTCATTAAAAATTTTTAAACAAAAACTTACTTTTATTATAAATTTAAGATTCGTATTGCTTATCATTTACTTTATATTTATCATAATAAAGAAATAAACAATTAGGACAATTACAAATTTTTATAGTTTTGTATATAATTAACAAAGTTGTATTATATTTTCTTAAATTATTATAAATCTGGATATAAATTTATTAAACTTATATTGAACCGTTGTTATTTAAATTGTTAAACTGATGAATATGTTTTAATATTAATAATTTTATTTCAATTATAATATACAACTAGAAAAAGTAATTTGTATGTAATAATATTAACGCATATTTGTATGTATTTTTTTTAATTCGTTGAATAAAACACATTTCAATTATCGTTGCGTATTTTCCAGTTTTTTTATACGATATTCGTTTTCATTAAATGTAATTTTCATCATATTACATGTAAATTACGTTTCATACATTTTCGCCATTTAAAATATCGTTTCATTTCTTTTTTAAATAATGTATATGCATTGGTCCCGGCGAATTCACCATTTATAAATCAATTTCTTTTCTCACATTCCCACAAATTTACGAAGAGAGAAAATCAAAACTATTTACATACATATTTTCAATTACATGTTATCAATAAAAATCCCTTCATAATCGTGAAAATTATTTTTTTCCATTTACTAAAAACCGTTATTTTTAATTGCACCATTTTCGCGCCAATTTTTTCGTTAAATATTGCAACCCCGCCTTAGATACATATTGCATACATACATTGATGCCAGTATCAAATATGCATGTTATTTTTTGTTTTATTTTAGAAATAATTTTCCACTTTAAGAAATAATTTTGTATTTTCCGTATTCAATATTATCAACGTTACCATATACGTGAAATAGAAATTAAATTTTATACGTAATTTCAATTTATGAAACAGTAAAGTTGAAAACCGGCAACTGTGTAAATCTCAGGCGCGAAATTTAACGATTTGGCTAAATATATAAATATTGATCCCCACTTTTTTTATCCAGTATTGTTTCGGTGATCTACGAGTTACAAAATTCTGTGTTTAAGGTAAATTTTTTCCCAAATTATTTTTCAAATTCGATAGCTAAAACCTTAAAAACATTAAGTATCTTTTTATTTTATTTTCAATTAAATAAATCGATAAAATTATTTCCTTTCATATTATTAAAATTTGTTTTTCCTACGTGCGATTTTCTTCAAATTTAAATCGTATGATTATATCTAAATAAAACATGCAATTGGAAAAATTCACGCTATATTATTTCCCCTTTCACTTTTCGCAAGTTCGTTTTTTTTTATGTAGCGTTTGATATATAACTTATGTTTTTAATTTTTATTTTGTGCAGTTAGACATTATTACAAATAAACTTTTTCATGAATGTACGACACATTCACCTTCATTATACCTTTAATTTATTATTAATTTTTCTGTTACTAAGCGGTTGACGGTTTCAAAATATGCGCGAAATTATTTCTCTCGTACGTTAGCTACATTGTTGCCAATTTTTCGTGCAATTTAAAATCGTTTTCATTTAATATATATTCGAATTTGGATAATAAATAAAATATGCAGTATGTAATAAGAAAGCAATGCATTTATCGTCTTTTTCGTTTAAATTTATGATTAATTTCGCTGTTATTAAACGATTGACGGTTTAAAAATAGGCGCGAAATTATTTCTCTCATACGTTGTCGATTTTTGTGCATTTTAAAAGTGTTTTAGTTTATTGCGTATTTCATTGAATAATATAGGAATATGTTTCACACGATCTCTATAGGTTATTAATTTATTTCATAATATATAATTATTTTTTACTTTTCGGTATTAATTTTTTTTCTTTTGAAATTTATCCAGTTAAAAAATATAATAAATTGAATATTTTCAATTGCCGCTAAATCAATTTCGTTGACTTAATGCATTGATAATTGAAAATCACATAGGCAATTATTATTTCGTTCCTATAATTTCGTTGTCCGTCTTTTGTATGCATGGTTGCCTATAACTATTTTTTTAAATAATCGAGTAAAGTTATTATATAATTGCTATAGTTGTTTATTATGTTGGTGTTGTTTTTATTTTATTCTTTTTATTTTATAAAATAATTATCAATGTTTTCCAATTATTTTATTAGATAATTTTTTAAATTTTAAATTTGTACCATCGAGAAATATGAAATAACCGTTTTAATACAACAAATTTATTTCTTTTTTTTTTAATTTTAGAGATCCGGCTATCATTTATCGTGGGGCAATTAATAATGTAAGTACTCTTATTACGATTATCGTTTTAGTGTTTGCGTCTTTTAGTTTTAATTATTTAAAATTATACAAAATTTTAAAAGCTGTTTTACAACGATTTTTCTTTTTTTTTCAGAATTTTTGGCTTATATCTTAATATTTTTTTAAACATTAATATTTAAAATTTAATAAATTTTGTATATTTTTTAAATTAAAACGAATCGGTTTAATTATGCCTGTTAATAACCAATCGCGTATTATTTCTAGAGATCGATTGAGAGGTCGCCAATCTTTGGAATCTCGACGTCGATTAATAGTTATAATACGACGTCTTCATTTTTTCAACACCATCCGCGATTTAAGTATAATTATCCGACCTTTAACGTCTTTTCAAATTTAGCAATGTTTCAATGCCCGTCGTGTAATCATACCGATTCGAAACATGTTATTGGATGAACCGGCTGCGTTATCGGCAACGAACAGACATTTTGGACGAACGTTGCGCGGATTGCGGGTGGTTTTACATCGTTTACCAGCAACATCAAATCGCGCTTCGAGAACCCCCAGAGAGGGATACATTATTTTACGTGGTTTTCCTGTAATCTTGCCACCTTTGTTCCCAATTGAGGAACGAGAGATACCACCTATCTCTCAACCTCGATTGGAAGTCGCGTCCATGGAAGACCAGCCGCAACCGCCCCGAGTACAGGCAACAACAACAAATTCTACTTCGTCGTCCGTCTCTCCAAATTTGCAACGATGCGCCAACGATGATATTTTACTTGAAACAACTGTCCCTTCAGAAGCTAACGATCAACATTTTCCAAATTTAAATAACAACGACGTGCCGGTGAATGTATTATTACCGCCTCCTAGACGAAGGCACGCTGACATACCTATTAGAAGAACGCACCGACACGCTATTACTTTAGCACAACGACAACCGTTTCATGTAGAAATTCATTCGTGCGGGCCAATGACTGACGTATGCCCTTTTTGCAACGCTTTGTTTTTTGAATTGGAACCGAAAAATCGGAATAATATTAGATTAATTTGTTGCAAAGGGGGCGAAGTTATTCTACCGCCTTTAGGGGAATGTCCGAGAGAATTGCATCAATTATTAACTGAGAATACACCTCTTGCTCGGCAGTTTTTGAATAACATCCGTAAATTGAATAGTAATTTTGCCATGGCCTCCATGCACGCCACTATTCCTGCGGATGTTAATGTTGGACAAGGGGCTGTTTGTTTCACAATCACGGGACAAATTTACCACCACGCTCAGGAAATCCCTCTAAATGTGCCGCATCGTGATGAACCAATCAGGAACAATCAGTATTATTTTCTTGATGTCACGGAAGCGCTCGAACGTCGCAACGATTTTTTTGACTAGACGGGAATAGATCCGCATCTTTTCCGGATCCTCGAGGAAATGTTGAGGCGCACGAACGTACTCGTCCATAGTTACATTTGCATTCGGGGAATGATTCGGGAACGCATCGAACGTGACGGGCCAAACTCGGTAGCGAACATCGTGGTGAGATTCAAACACAACATCAATAGAGATCGACGGAATTTTAACTTACCCGAGAGCCGCTGCGAAATAGCAGCGGTATTTGATAACGATATACCGTTCGATGTTGATCTGCGAGTGTATCCACGACGTCCGCTTATCGACCATCAAAATAAAATTAGTAATTTGTCTCGTGTGTCTGATCCCATGGTGTACCCGTTACTCTTCCCTCACGGAGAGGACGGTTATGGCGTGCGTCTCAGATACGCGAGCAGACGAGACAAAAAGGTCTCGCTGCGGGATTTTGTAACAGCACAGGTTGATGGTACGTGACGAGACTTTTTCCATATTGCACAATTCCGCGAAACTATTTCAACAGTACGTGATTGACACGTACGTGAAAATAGAATCGCAAGAGTTGTGGTGGTATCGGACGAATCAACGTCAAGTTCGGACCACGTATTACAACCGCTTAATCGACTACGTGCGTAAGCGCGTAGCCGAAGCGGGGCCTAATGCGAGGATCGGCCATATCAACATCCTGCCGGCCGCGTTTAAGGGTAGTTGTCGCGGACAGAACAAACTATACCTGGACGCTATGGCAGTCGTTGCCAGACACGGTAAACCAGACTTATTTATAACGATGACCTGCAACCCCCATTGGCCAGAAATTACTCAAAATTTAAATTTTAATCAACGCGTGGAAAATCGTCCAGAATTGGTGTGCCGAGTCTTCCATACAAAGCTCCAACAATTCATGGACGATTTAGTCAAAGAACAATTCTTAGGAATCGTCCGCACATTATTCGATCGAGTTTTAAAAAAGAGGACTGCCACACGCTCACATTTTAATCGGGTTCGAACTTACGGATCGGATCGACGACGCGGAGAAGATGGACCGGATTATATCCGCCCGGATTCCCGACCGCGAAGTTGAGCCGGATCTGTACGGTGTTGTGCGTGATTATTATGTGCACCGTGTCTGCGGTCAAGACAATCCGGCCGCCCCGTGTACCAACTTGGAGTCTCGCGTGTGCGCGAAAGGCTATCCAAAAGCCTTTCGACGCGATACCGTTCTAAATTTCCACCGTTTCGACGGAAGACCGGAATATGCCCGTCCCGATGACGGTCGGTTTGTCATTTTCGCAGGCAATCGTTATGATAATCGGCGTATCGTGCCTTACAACCGCTGGGCTGCGATGAAATATCGGACTCACATTAATTTCGAAGGGGTCGGATCTTTTGCCTCTATCCGATACCTGTACAAATATTGCCACAAAGGACCAGATTGTATCACCATCCAAATGCGCGGGCAGAATAATGAAGTCGATTGGGACGAGATTAGTAACTATACCGACTGTCGATATATCAGCTCGATGGAAGCGTGCTGGCGTATTTTCGCGTATAAATTACACGATCGTTCCCACGCCGTAGTTACGTTGCCCGTTCACTTGGAGAATGAACAACTCGTCACTTTCGATGAAGATGACGACGAAGATGAATTACTGACCCGTGTCGCGGACGCAACAAACTACGTGTCTAAATTGGTGGCGTATTTCCGTCTGAATGCGGTCGACCCCGAAGCACGGCGGCTGCGCTACGTCGAGATACCCGAAAACTACGTTTGGTTTAGAGGAGAGGGGGAATGGCGTGCGCGTCAACATTTTAATAAAATCGTGGGAGTTATACGGGAAGTATCCCCGTTGGATGACGATAGGTTTCACCTGCGTATTTTGTTACAACATTTACGGGGCGCCACCTCCTTCGAATCGATCAGGACGCTAGCCGACGGGTATGTCTGTCAAGCGTACCGTGAAGCCTGCGAGAAGCGTCGGTTACTCGCCAATTTTGACATTTACCGCAACGCGATGCGCGAGGTTTGCGATCGCGATTTGCCGCCGCGCGTCAGAAATTTTTTCGCTCTAATTATTTTAGTTTCATTCGAGCGCCATCGGCACGAAATACCGGCCTTATGAGAAGAGTTCAAAGATCCTTACATAATCGCTGATCTCATAAGACGCGGTATTCCGCGGCCGATCGCGCTTCGCCGCGCTCTCATTAATATTGATCAAATCGTGGCGGCAAATCGCGAGGGAATAAACCTCAACGAGATCGGTCTGGACGACCCGGAAGCTGTTGGCGTCAATGAAGCGAACGCGTTTGCGGAAGTGAGACAATGCGCGCCGGCGTCAGACGAGCACGAGAATGTGCTCTTGAGATTCGGGGACAGAGTGTACGAGTTGAACGCGGATCAACGTACTGTTTACAACGCCGTTATTTACACTTTGTTAAAAAATAGAAACAGCGTAGATTCGGAGAGTGCGTTGCGACATTTCCACCTAGACAGGGCTATCGTTGCGGGACTGGAGGCGGACGAGACGTTCGTCAACAGAAATTTATTTTTTGTTGACGGGCCCGGCGGAACTGGCAAAACTTTCTCTATAACGTAATCGCGGAGCGAATTCTGTCTGCCGGCGGTGCCCGTCTGATGGCAGTTGCGTGGACGGGAATCGCTGCGTCTTTACTTATAGAGGGGAGGACCTGCCACCACACTTTCCGTCTCCCTCTGGACCTGGACGAAGAGTCCACGGTCGGATGGCCGGCCGAGCACGAAAGGTCGCAAAACATTCGTCGAAACGACGTCATTCTTTGGGACGAGGTGTCGATGACCTCAAAGCATGCGTTGAACGCGGTCGACAGGTATGTTTGTGACGTGTGCGAAAACAATGTGGTTCCTTTCGGGGGAAAAGTAGTCCTTTTCGGGGGTGACTTTCGTCAAACGTTGCCGATCGTGGTGCGCGGTTCGCGCATGGACATCCTTGCAAACTGTGTCAAATCGAGTCAGATTTGGCGCAGGGTGAAGGTGTTTTGTCTTCAGACAAACTTGCGACTGAATCGCGCGGTACAATCGGCGACCGAGGCGGCGGCTCATCATCCCGAAATGGTCGACTTGGAAGTCGTGGGGAACCGCATTCGAGAGTACGGCAATTGGCTTTTGCGTATGGGGGAGGGGTTAATCGAGAGGGCAATTTTGCGCGATACGTTCGTCCCGGCCGATCTCATCAAAATCGATCGTCATTTCGTAATGCCAACCATACAGGAATTGATCGAATGGGTCTACGACAGAGTAAATGAAAACGACGTCGGGGATTGAGTGATACTGTGTCCCACCAATGTCGCGGTAGATGACATTAATTTGCTAATTTTAAATCGGAAAATCATTGGTGAGCCAAGGTACTACCACTCGGTCGACGAGTATGCCGGCAATGCGGCGACCGAGGATGATGAATTTCACGTCCCTTTGGACGTCGTTCATCGGATCTCGGCGTCCAACCTTCCGCCACATGAGCTCGTGCTCAAGACGGGAGCGGTTGTCGTCCTCCTTAAAAACCTAGACGTCCGGCATGGACAGTGCAACGGCACCAGAATGATGATTGTGCGTCTCGGCCAGGAAGTTTTGGAAGTCAAGGTTTTATCGGGTCCCCGCAAAGGGGAGACCATCAACTTGCCCAAAATTGAAATTACATCGAGCGTTCCGGAACTTCCTCGCCCGATCAAGAGAGTGCAGTTTCCCATACGGCTGGCATTCGCCATGACGATTAACAAAAGTCAAGGACAGACGTACGCAAGAGTAGGAATCCATTTGCCAAGCCCGTGTTTCGCGCACGGACAGCTTTATGTGGCCTTCTCTAGGACTCTAGGGTGGGCTCGCCTGAAGATGTGCGTGTCGTGATCGAAAACACGGCAAGTCAAGGCGCTTTCAGACGCAGAGACGGAGTTAAATTGACGCATAACGTCGTTTACTCCAACATTTTTAACAACCCCGAACCACTTCGACAACGGTTACCCTGGAATCCTACTCGTGCGATTATTGGGGGTCAGGGTGAAGTCGTGCTTCCGGCACGCACGTCACCCTCTCCACCAACGTCTAACGAACCGACCAGTACTTCGTTCGAACAAGACGACGATTTTTTCGATTCACTAGATTTGACCGATATTATTATGGACGTACTGAGACACGGACCCACACCCAGGATTCTTCCGATCCCCAGGCTGTACGATAATGTCGTGATCAATCCATATAACGATCGACAATTGTTTGAACGAGTCTCGCGCGATAATCGTCCCGGAACATCGGGGACAACCACGACATTATTTCCATTTCAAAAGTGAAATTAAAACTCTTTTTTTCAAATTTAATATATTTTTTTTCAAAGTACACATTTACACCTTCGTTAATGCTGCCGTTATAACAACGACATTTACTTATCATCAATATTGTATATCTTCAACAAATAGTTTTTTTTTATTATTACAACCTTCTTATTGTTATTTCACTCTATGAATTTCACTTTTTTATTCAATATTTAATTACCTTTTTCACAGTTTTCTTTTAAATTAGTCGTTGATTATATTTGTTTACAATAACATGTTCATATTTCTCTCGTAAAGCAATTTATATAAATTAATTTTTTTTAAATTTTGCATTATATAACTTCATTAAATTTTCTCAATTCAACAAATATTCTATTATATAAATTTTTAAATTAATTGCCCCTTAGTTTGTAAGTTCATTGCTGAATTTCTTTTTTATTGCAACATATTGTTTAATGTAAAACAATTCAGCAATGGACATTTTTTTTATTTTTTTTTCATATCACTCTCTATAAAGCACATTATTAACTTAATTTTAAATTTATAATCTCCGATATAACGATTTCAATTGCACTCGGTTTCTCTATATTTTCATTTCAAGTTTTGGTAAAAAATAAAAAAAATATCCATTGCTGACGTTTATTTTCGTTGGAAGAACATTTGAAAAGAAATGCGCTAGGCAATGCTGATGAGTCTCAACAAAGACGAAACATTTTTTTTATTATTCCAATGGGCATCTACATTGTCAGGTGAGTGTTACATTTCATAATGTTATTTATTTAATAATTTAAAAACAAATATTATATGTTACAGTGCGTGCGTGCGCCAAATCAAATACAAATTCAAAGTTACAAATTCCACCGATAGTCTAAATTTAGTTAACACAATGAACCATTTCTGTTCCAAAAAAACTATTACCTAAATGAAAACTACATTTGTAATTGAAAATATTCTCTATTACATCGATTATTTTTCTTCTTAAAACGTTACAGTTGAAGAAAAGGGTAAGAATAACGACAATAATTTAGATCATTCTGAACAACTTTCAAACACATTTACCAATATATGTCTAAATGTCGTCACCAAATTGGTTAAAATTACAACGCTTTTTGAAAATTTCGTGCCACACTATATAAATGTACAATTTATGAAATTAGCGATAATAATATTTCAATTGTAATATTAACAATATTAAAAATTTAAGATTTCTAACCTCATCGTTAGTTGTGAGGTTATCCGATACGATGTCTACGATAAGAAGAACAAATACCGATAAATTACAAGATACTCGTCGATCGTGCGAAGAAGGTGCTTCGAAAATTCGTTTCAAGCAGAAAGAACTACATTTTACATATAACAGGTATTTGATATAATATATATTTCATTTCGATACGATATTAATAACGTTTAATTCACTCTCATTTCATTTTTGAAGATTACGGGATCCAAAAATTTATATAAAAACAAAATTACGTACAACAATGAGATGTTTTGTCATGAAGATTGGTTGGATTTCAACTTCAATAGTTATTGTTAAATGCAGATGAAAGTGCCTCGTAAAACTTCATACCATTGCGGAAATTATCATCAATTAATTATTAACAAAACAACTGCCAACAACTTCTAAAAAGATTATCCTAAAGAACTTTGCACAATTGTTATTACAAATTCAACTACAAAAATATCACTTAATAAAAATATCACTCAAATAAATAAATACAAACATATCCAGTAAATTTTTACCATGTTTATATTATAAATTATAGATGACATTGAGCATTACAACATCAACGTACCACATAACTTTTTAAAATTACTTATACGATTTAAATTATTTATATTTTTTTTCTGTCAAAATATGATTTGTAATGGCTATATTCTAAATGGATTATTTTTAATTGATTTCTTAGAATAGTTTGGAAAATTTAAATTGTTTTTCTATTTATTGAAACAATAAAAAATTTGGAATATTCATACAGATAGAAAGTAAACCATTATCGACAATTGTTTTATGAAAAATGTCTTGGACCAATCATTGCAAAGGGATAACTTCATTGAAGAAACTACTATTGCAACGAGGACCAACATCATCTAGACATAAAGGAATATTCCGAAAAAAAGCATCACTTATATAAATATATCTAAATATAACAAGTAAGTTTTTAATAAACTCATATCGTACGTTATATGTAGTATTTTAATATTAGAAAGTTAATAGTTGCTATAATATTTTTATAAAATTAACTAGGTAATAGGTTATTTTTACAAAACAAATTATATTTTTCCTTCTATTCAAATTACACAATCTAATTTTCCAATATCTTTTATAAAATGTAAAATTTAACTTAAAAAAAAAATAATAATAAAAAACTAATTTTCATTAACAATACAATTATGAAAAATTCCATTCATTTTCCTTTTCCTTAAAAAAACAAAATAAAACTAATTTCAGTTTTTTAATATTTACATCATAGTTTTTAAAATGAAATATTAGTACTTCACTGTTTAAATTATTTATGTATTTTCTTAAGCAACGTTTCTTTTTAAATTTACAATTTCGTATTTATTCTTTATTTATGTAGATGGACAACAAATCACCATCGACAACGTAATGAAAAGAAAAAAAAAGTTTCAGTGAATAAATGTTATCAGAACTCGATAGGAATCTGTCGAATCAAGCAAGAAATACATTATTTGGATAAACAAATTTTAATTTAACAAGTAAGTCTTTAATATTTATTTTATAAAATATATCAAATTAAAATCAATAATTATTTTACATAGTGTCGTATATTTTCAAGCTGAAAAACAAATATATACAAAGCGTAAATCTACGCCATCTATCAAGAAATTTCGGAATTACAGATTCCTTTTTACTTCTTTAAGAAAATAATGTAAAACAATATCAAAACATCATGATGAAATCAACAAAAATTGTAATGTCTTTCCATCGTATATAATTACTTTATTTGTCAAATCAACAATAATAATACATAATCCTAATTGTAATATTAATGACAATTTTAAATTTATGACGTCATCAACAGTTGTGGGATTATTTGATGCGGTTTTACAATGCCTTTCCAAGTTTCAAACTATGGTAAATTCGAACACAGTTAAACATAGAAAATGTCAAAAAGGGTAAATGTCGACGAATTTTTAAATTTTGGAATGTCATCGTCAATCGCGGAAAAATGCATCACTGGGGTTTATTTCCAAGAGAAACAAATACATTTTACAAATTAAAGGTATTTAATATAACATTTTTAATTTTTATACGATATTATTTTCCATAACCTCTAATTCATATTCGTTTTGTTTCCGATGGTTACAGGATTCAAAAAATTGCAGAAAGAGAATTGATACAAGAACTAGATGTTTCACTATCCCTAATAACGAAATATCCAAATATTCGTTTTATTTATTTCGGAAATGCAAAAAAAGCTGACGTCCCAGGTATGGGTTTAGACCATTGAAGAGCCACTTGAGAGAGCTTCAAAATGACGTACTACTCAATCACCTTGAAGCGGTCGAGAATGTGTAAAACTACCCCCAATACTAAAATAACCAAATGTTTATTTTATTAATTTCGGACTCGCAAAAAAAGCTGACGTCCCAGGTAACAAATTAGGCCATTGAAAAACCGCTTAGAAGAGGCTAGTTTAACAGCAAAATTTATCATCAATGAGTTATCAATAAAACGACTTCTGATAACTTCAAGAGAAATTACCATAAGAAATTTAAATAAACCATCATTGCCAATTTGGAAAGAAAATTATCCAAGTAAAATATTATTTGGATAAATGGATATAAACACAGGTAAAGTTTTATCATGTTCAAATTATAAGTCGTAATTGATATTTGATATAAAATTAACTTTTCATATAATTTTTCAAAATTATTTACACAATTCAAGTTAGTTTTATTGTTTACAAAGTCTTATATCATCTAAAAAGAAAGAAATAATTTAAAAAAATATATTTAAATGAATGAATGAAAACATGATGATGATGATAATTAATCTTAATTTTCTTTTAATATTTATATTTTTACTCTTAATTTGAAATATTAGTGTTTTAATGTGTTTCATTTATTTATATATTTTTTTAAATTATTCAAGTTTTTTAAATTTTAATTTCCTAATATTTCTTTTTGAATGTAAAATTTTCCATTTATTTCTCTCAATGGAAATTTAAAAATTATTATATATTTTTAAGTAGACAATAAATCACTACCGACAACTTAGTTATAAAGAAAATCATTCATCAATTATGAAAAAAAAAAAGAAGACAATTTTATTAAATAAATGATCATTGAAACTTTGTAAGTATTCGTCGAGTCATCCAAGAAATACTTCATTTAGACACAAATTTCAATTGAACAAGTGTTTTTTATATTCATTTTACATAACATATTACGTGTAATATCTACTACTACAAAATCAATAATTGCTTTATATAATTTTTAATATTTTCCAGTTTAACACAAGAAATGTAAAACATAAATCCACACAATTTGTCAAACAAATTCGGCATTGTTTACAGATTCCTTTTTATTTCTTTTAAGAAAATAAAGTGACGACAAGAAATGAAATAAAAGAAAACTATAAAGAATAAAATATCGTTTATTTAAAAAAAAAATTAAAATGAATATCACATGCGATATTAAAAATATTCATTACTACATAAATTACTTCCCTTCCTGAAGTATTATAATTAAGAAAAAAGTAAAAGAAACAATAATAATGCGGATAATTACAGATTATTTTTAAATATATTTTTGCATTTTTGATGTTTCAATATCTTAACGAAATTACCAAAAAACTATAATAATTTTCTAATAGTTCATCGCATGTAATTGCCTAATAATATCATATAAAATATCAAATAATTGCCTAATTCGTGAAATTAACAATATGAAATATATTCTAACGTGAAATTTGTGACGCCATTGACAGTTGCGACGTTATCCAATACGGTTCTGCAGTGCCCTTCCGAATTTGAATCTATGGTATACACAACCATATTCGAACACGAAGAAGAGTCGTTGAAGACGCCGAGATGAGAACAAGATTTTGGAATATCGTCGTTCATCGCGCAAAGAATACATCGCGGGGATTTATTTTGAGAAGAAACAGAAATATTTCATACATAACATGTATTTAATATAGAATTTTAAATTGTTACGCGACTTAATTTTTTATAACCTCTAACTCTTTTTCATATTGTTTTAGTTGATTAGGATACCCAAGAAATTACGCAAAAGCAAAACAATACAGATAATAGAAAAGTGAGCATACAGAAAAATATTTGATATGATTCAACAACAAGGTGTTTAGTCATAAAGAATGATTCCAATTCGGATTAGATAGTTTTCATCAAGTACGAGTGAATATACCTCGTACAACATAAAAATTACTGCGAGTTAGTTATCAAAGAAACAATTGTAGACAACTTCTAAAGAAATTGTCATAAGGAACTTGCCAAAATTGCCATCACCGATTTGAGATGGATATATTTCTGCAAATGAACAACAAACCATCATTGACCATTGATGATCACTTTTATGAAGAATGTCTTTGACCATTCATCCAAAAAAAAAGCCGTTGATAATTTCATCAAAAAGATTACCGTTGTGACCCTGCAAGGACCGATGTCATCTAGACGAGAAGAGGTTTTCCAAGAAATAGGATACTCGAATAAAAAGATTCAAATGTACCAAGCAAGTTTTAAATAAACTCATATCGTATATTATATGTAGTGTTTCATATTAAAAAGTTAATAATTGATGTAATGCTTTTATGAAATTGATTAAGTTAGTCAATTATTTTTACGGCACTAACTTTTAATATATATTGTACAACATACAACAATGAGATGTTTTGTCATGAAGATTGGTTGGATTTCAACTTCAATAGTTATTGTTAAATGCAGATGAAAGTGCCTCGTAAAACTTCATACCATTGCGGAAATTATCATCAATTAATTATTAACAAAACAACTGTCAACAACTTCTAAAAAGATTATCCTAAAGAACTTTGCACAATTGTTATTACAAATCCAGTAAATTTCTACCATGTTTATATTAAAAATTATAGATGACATTGAGCACTACAACATCAACGTTTTACATAACTTTTTAAAATTACTTATACGATTTAAATTATTTACATTTTTTTTCTGTCAAAATATGATTTGTAATGGCTATATTTTAAATAGATTATTTTTAATTGATTTCTTAGAATATTTTGGAAAATTTAAATTGTTTTTTTATTTATTGAAATAATAAAAAATTTGGAATATTTATACAGATAGGAAGTAAACCATTATGGACAATTGTTTTATAAAAAAAGTCTTGAACCAATCATTGCAAAGGGATAACTTCATTGAAGAAACTACTATTACAACGAGGACCAACATCTAGACATAAAGGAATATTCCGAAAAAAAGCATCACTTATATAAATATATCTAAATATAACAAGTAAGTTTTTAATTAACTCATATCGTACGTTATATGTAGTATTTTAATATTAAAAAGTTAATAGTTGCTATAATATTTCTATAAAATTAACTAGGTAATAGGTTATTTTTACAAAACAAATTATCTATTCAAATTACACAATCTAATTTTCCAATATCTTTTAGAAAATGTAAAATTTAACCTTTTTTTAAAAAATAATAAACAAATTTTCATTAACAATACAATTATGAAAAATTCCATTCATTTTCCTTTTCCTTAAAAAAACAAAATAAAATTAATTTCAGTTTTTTAATATTTACATTATAGTTTTTAAAATGAAATATTAGTACTTCACTGTTTAAATTATTTATGTATTTTCTTAAGCAACGTTTCTTTTTAAATTTACAATTTCGTATTTATTCTTTATTTATGTAGATGGACAACAAATCACCATCGACAACGTAGTGAAAAGAAAAAAAAAGTTTCAGTGAATAAATGTTATCAGAACTCGATAGGAATCTGTCGAATCAAGCAAGAAATACATTATTTGGATAAACAAATTTTAATTTAACAAGTAAGTCTTTAATATTTATTTTATAAAATATATCAAATTAAAATCAATAATTATTTTACATAGTATCGTATATTTTCTAGCTGAAAAACAAATATATACAAAGCGTAAATCTACGCCATCTATCAAGCAATTTCGGAATTACAGATTCATTTTTACTTCTTTAAGAAAATATTGTAAAACAATATCAAAACATCATGATGATATCAACAAAAATTGTAATGTCTTTCCATCGTATATAATTACTTTATTTGTCAAATCAACAATAATAATACATAATCCTATTTGTAATATTAATGACAAATTTAAATTTATGACGTCATCAACAGTTGTGGGATTATTTGATGCGGTCTTACAATGCCCGGCCAAGTTTCAAACTATGGTAAACGCGAACACAGTTAAACATAGAAAATGTCAAAAAGAGTAAATGTCGACGAATTTTTAAATTTTGGCATGTCGTCGTCAATCGCGTGAAAAATGCATCACTGGGGTTTATTTCCAAGAGAAACAAATACATTTTACAAATTAAAGGTATTTAATATAACATTGTTAATTTTTATACGATATTATTTTCCATAACCTCTAATTCATATTCGTTTTGTTTCCGATGGTTACAGGATTCATAAAATTGCAGAAAGAGAATTGATACAAGAACTAGATGTTTCACTATCCCTAATAACGAAATAACCAAATATTCGTTTTATTTATTTCGGAAATGCAAAAAAAGCTGACGTCCCAGGTATGGGTTTAGACCATTGAAGAGCCAATTGAGAGAGCTTCAAAATGACGTACTACTCAATCACCTTGAAGCGGTCGAGAATGTGTAAAACTACCCCCAATACTAAAATAACCAAATGTTTATTTTATTTATTTCGGACTCGCAAAAAAAGCTGACGTCCCAGGTAACAAATTAGGCCATTGAAAAACCGCTTAGAAGATGCTAGTTTAACAGCAAAATTTATCATCAATGACTTATCAATAAAACGACTTCTGATAACTTCAAGAGAAATTACCATAAGAAATTTAAATAAACCATCATTGCCAATTTGGAAAGAAAATTATCCAAGTAAAATATTATTTGGATAAATGGATATAAACACAGGTAAAGTTTTATCATGTTCAAATTATAAGTCGTAATTGATATTTGATATAAAATTAACTTTTCATATAATTTTTCAAAATTATTTACACAATTCAAGTTAGTTTTATTGTTTACAAAGTCTTATATCATCTAAAAAGAAAGAAATAATTTAAAAAAATATATTTAAATGAATGAATGAAAACATGATGATGATGATAATTAATCTTAATTTTCTTTTAATATTTATATTTTTACTCTTAATTTGAAATATTAGTGTTTTAATGTGTTTCATTTATTTATATATTTTTTTAAATTATTCAAGTTTTTTAAATTTTAATTTCCTAATATTTCTTTTTGAATGTAAAATTTTCCATTTATTTCTCTCAATGGAAATTTAAAAATTATTATATATTTTTAAGTAGACAATAAATCACTACCGACAACTTAGTTATAAAGAAAATCATTCATCAATTATGAAAAAAAAAAAGAAGACAATTTTATTAAATAAATGATCATTGAAACTTTGTAAGTATTCGTCGAGTCATCCAAGAAATACTTCATTTAGACACAAATTTCAATTGAACAAGTGTTTTTTATATTCATTTTATGTAACCTATTACGTGTAATATCTACTACTACAAAATCAATAATTACTTTATATAATTTTTAATATTTTCCAGTTTAACACAAGAAATGTAAAACATAAATCCACACAATTTGTCAAACAAATTCGGCATTGTTTACAGATTCCTTTTTATTTCTTTTAAGAAAATAAAGTGACGACAAGAAATGAAATAAAAGAAAACTATAAAGAATAAAATATCGTTTATTTAAAAAAAAAATTAAAATGAATATCACATGCGATATTAAAAATATTCATTACTACATAAATTACTTCCCTTCCTGAAGTATTATAATTAAGAAAAAAGTAAAAGAAACAATAATAATGCGGATAATTACAGATTATTTTTAAATATATTTTTGCATTTTTGATGTTTCAATATCTTAACGAAATTACCAAAAAACTATAATAATTTTCTAAAATTTCATCGCATGTAATTGCCTGATAATATCATATAAAATATCAAATAATTGCCTAATTCGTGAAATTAACAATATGAAATATATTCTAACGTGAAATTTGTGACGCCATTGACAGTTGCGACGTTATCCAATACGGTTCTGCAGTGCCCTTCCGAATTTGAATCTATGGTATACACAACCATATTCGAACACGAAGAAGAGTCGTTGAAGACGCCGAGATGAGAACAAGATTTTGGAATATCGTCGTTCATCGCGCAAAGAATACATCGCGGGGATTTATTTTGAGAAGAAACAGAAATATTTCATACATAACATGTATTTAATATAGAATTTTAAATTGTTACGCGACTTAATTTTTTATAACCTCTAACTCTTTTTCATATTGTTTTAGTTGATTAGGATACCCAAGAAATTACGCAAAAGCAAAACAATACAGATAATAGAAAAGTGAGCATACAGAAAAATATTTGATATGATTCAACAACAAGGTGTTTAGTCATAAAGAATGATTCCAATTCGGATTAGATAGTTTTCATCAAGTACGAGTGAATATACCTCGTACAACATAAAAATTACTGCGAGTTAGTTATCAAAGAAACAATTGTAGACAACTTCTAAAGAAATTGTCATAAGGAACTTGCCAAAATTGCCATCACCGATTTGAGATGGATATATTTCTGCAAATGAACAACAAACCATCATTGACCATTGATGATCACTTTTATGAAGAATGTCTTTGACCATTCATCCAAAAAAAAAGCCGTTGATAATTTCATCAAAAAGATTACCGTTGTGACCCTGCAAGGACCGATGTCATCTAGACGAGAAGAGGTTTTCCAAGAAATAGGATACTCGAATAAAAAGATTCAAATGTACCAAGCAAGTTTTAAATAAACTCATATCGTATATTATATGTAGTGTTTCATATTAAAAAGTTAATAATTGATGTAATGCTTTTATGAAATTGATTAAGTTAGTCAATTATTTTTACGGCACTAACTTTTAATATATATTGTACAACATACAACAATGAGATGTTTTGTCATGAAGATTGGTTGGATTTCAACTTCAATAGTTATTGTTAAATGCAGATGAAAGTGCCTCGTAAAACTTCATACCATTGCGGAAATTATCATCAATTAATTATTAACAAAACAACTGTCAACAACTTCTAAAAAGATTATCCTAAAGAACTTTGCACAATTGTTATTACAAATCCAGTAAATTTCTACCATGTTTATATTAAAAATTATAGATGACATTGAGCACTACAACATCAACGTTTTACATAACTTTTTAAAATTACTTATACGATTTAAATTATTTACATTTTTTTTCTGTCAAAATATGATTTGTAATGGCTATATTTTAAATAGATTATTTTTAATTGATTTCTTAGAATATTTTGGAAAATTTAAATTGTTTTTTTATTTATTGAAATAATAAAAAATTTGGAATATTTATACAGATAGGAAGTAAACCATTATGGACAATTGTTTTATAAAAAAAGTCTTGGACCAATCATTGCAAAGGGATAACTTCATTGAAGAAACTACTATTACAACGAGGACCAACATCTAGACATAAAGGAATATTCCGAAAAAAAGCATCACTTATATAAATATATCTAAATATAACAAGTAAGTTTTTAATTAACTCATATCGTACGTTATATGTAGTATTTTAATATTAAAAAGTTAATAGTTGCTATAATATTTCTATAAAATTAACTAGGTAATAGGTTATTTTTACAAAACAAATTATCTATTCAAATTACACAATCTAATTTTCCAATATCTTTTAGAAAATGTAAAATTTAACCTTTTTTTAAAAAATAATAAACAAATTTTCATTAACAATACAATTATGAAAAATTCCATTCATTTTCCTTTTCCTTAAAAAAACAAAATAAAATTAATTTCAGTTTTTTAATATTTACATTATAGTTTTTAAAATGAAATATTAGTACTTCACTGTTTAAATTATTTATGTATTTTCTTAAGCAACGTTTCTTTTTAAATTTACAATTTCGTATTTATTCTTTATTTATGTAGATGGACAACAAATCACCATCGACAACGTAGTGAAAAGAAAAAAAAAGTTTCAGTGAATAAATGTTATCAGAACTCGATAGGAATCTGTCGAATCAAGCAAGAAATACATTATTTGGATAAACAAATTTTAATTTAACAAGTAAGTCTTTAATATTTATTTTATAAAATATATCAAATTAAAATCAATAATTATTTTACATAGTATCGTATATTTTCTAGCTGAAAAACAAATATATACAAAGCGTAAATCTACGCCATCTATCAAGCAATTTCGGAATTACAGATTCATTTTTACTTCTTTAAGAAAATATTGTAAAACAATATCAAAACATCATGATGATATCAACAAAAATTGTAATGTCTTTCCATCGTATATAATTACTTTATTTGTCAAATCAACAATAATAATACATAATCCTATTTGTAATATTAATGACAAATTTAAATTTATGACGTCATCAACAGTTGTGGGATTATTTGATGCGGTCTTACAATGCCCGGCCAAGTTTCAAACTATGGTAAACGCGAACACAGTTAAACATAGAAAATGTCAAAAAGAGTAAATGTCGACGAATTTTTAAATTTTGGCATGTCGTCGTCAATCGCGTGAAAAATGCATCACTGGGGTTTATTTCCAAGAGAAACAAATACATTTTACAAATTAAAGGTATTTAATATAACATTGTTAATTTTTATACGATATTATTTTCCATAACCTCTAATTCATATTCGTTTTGTTTCCGATGGTTACAGGATTCATAAAATTGCAGAAAGAGAATTGATACAAGAACTAGATGTTTCACTATCCCTAATAACGAAATAACCAAATATTCGTTTTATTTATTTCGGAAATGCAAAAAAAGCTGACGTCCCAGGTATGGGTTTAGACCATTGAAGAGCCAATTGAGAGAGCTTCAAAATGACGTACTACTCAATCACCTTGAAGCGGTCGAGAATGTGTAAAACTACCCCCAATACTAAAATAACCAAATGTTTATTTTATTTATTTCGGACTCGCAAAAAAAGCTGACGTCCCAGGTAACAAATTAGGCCATTGAAAAACCGCTTAGAAGATGCTAGTTTAACAGCAAAATTTATCATCAATGACTTATCAATAAAACGACTTCTGATAACTTCAAGAGAAATTACCATAAGAAATTTAAATAAACCATCATTGCCAATTTGGAAAGAAAATTATCCAAGTAAAATATTATTTGGATAAATGGATATAAACACAGGTAAAGTTTTATCATGTTCAAATTATAAGTCGTAATTGATATTTGATATAAAATTAACTTTTCATATAATTTTTCAAAATTATTTACACAATTCAAGTTAGTTTTATTGTTTTTGTCAACATTTACATGAATCATATATATGTGTAAGTATTTCAAATAGACGATTTTCAATTTGTTTCCCAAAATTGCTTGATAAATTTAAAATATTTTATTTACTCTTTTGACGGTAAAATTTTTTTCATGTTATAATCCTGTAGATAAAAAACAAACCATCATTAACAATTTCTCTATAAAGAATGCCTTCAATCAGTTATTGAACATGGACGGACTGATAATTTCATTCAAAAAATTACCATCACCATTTTACAAAGTCTTATATCATCTAAAAAGAAAGAAATAATTTAAAAAAATATATTTAAATGAATGAATGAAAACATGATGATGATGATAATTAATCTTAATTTTCTTTTAATATTTATATTATTACTCTTAATTTGAAATATTAGTGTTTTAATGTGTTTCATTTATTTATATATTTTTTTAAATTATTCAAGTTTTTTAAATTTTAATTTCCTAATATTTCTTTTTGAATGTAAAATTTTCCATTTATTTCTCTCAATGGAAATTTAAAAATTATTATATATTTTTAAGTAGACAATAAATCACTACCGACAACTTAGTTATAAAGAAAATCATTCATCAATTATGAAAAAAAAAAGAAGACAATTTTATTAAATAAATGATCATTGAAACTTTGTAAGTATTCGTCGAGTCATCCAAGAAATACTTCATTTAGACACAAATTTCAATTGAACAAGTGTTTTTTATATTCATTTTACGTAACCTATTACGTGTAATATCTACTACTACAAAATCAATAATTACTTTATATAATTTTTAATATTTTCCAGTTTAACACAAGAAATGTAAAACATAAATCCACACAATTTGTCAAACAAATTCGGCATTGTTTACAGATTCCTTTTTATTTCTTTTAAGAAAATAAAGTGACGACAAGAAATGAAATAAAAGAAAACTATAAAGAATAAAATATCGTTTATTTAAAAAAAAAATTAAAATGAATATCACATGCGATATTAAAAATATTCATTACTACATAAATTACTTCCCTTCCTGAAGTATTATAATTAAGAAAAAAGTAAAAGAAACAATAATAATGCGGATAATTACAGATTATTTTTAAATATATTTTTGCATTTTTGATGTTTCAATATCTTAACGAAATTACCAAAAAACTATAATAATTTTCTAAAATTTCATCGCATGTAATTGCCTGATAATATCATATAAAATATCAAATAATTGCCTAATTCGTGAAATTAACAATATGAAATATATTCTAACGTGAAATTTGTGACGCCATTGACAGTTGCGACGTTATCCAATACGGTTCTGCAGTGCCCTTCCGAATTTGAATCTATGGTAGACACAACCATATTCGAACACGAAGAAGAGTCGTTGAAGACGCCGAGATGGGAACAAGATTTTGGAATATCGTCGTTCATCGCGCAAAGAATACATCGCGGGGATTTATTTTGAGAAGAAACAGAAATATTTCATACATAACAGGTATTTAATATAGAATTTTAAATTGTTACTTGACTTAATTTTTTATAACCTCTAACTCTTTTTCATATTGTTTTAGGTGATTAGGATACCCAAGAAATTACGCAAAAGCAAAACAATACGATAATAGAAAAGTGAGCATACAGAAAAATATTTGATATGATTCAACAACAAGGTGTTTAGTCATAAAGAATGATTCCAATTCGGATTAGATAGTTTTCATCATGTACGAGTGAATATACCTCTTACAACATAAAAATTACCCCGAGTTAGTTATCAAAGAAACAATTGTAGACAACTTCTAAAGAAATTGTCATAAGGAACTTGCCAAAATTGCCATCACCGATTTGAAATGGATATATTTCTGCAAATGAACAACAAACCATCATTGACCATTGATGATCACTTTTATGAAGAATGTCTTTGACCATTCATCCAAAAAAAAAGCCGTTGATAATTTCATCAAAAAGATTACCGTTGTGACCCTACAAGGACCGATGTCATCTAGACGAGAAGAGGTTTTACAAGAAATAGGATACTCGAATAAAAAGATTCAAATGTACCAAGCAAGTTTTAAATAAACTCATATTGTATATTATATGTAGTGTTTCATATTAAAAAGTTAATAATTTATGTAATGCTTTTATGAAATTGATTAAGTTACTCAATTATTTTTATGGCACTAACTTTTAATATATATTGAATGATTTATATTTTAAACATTTCAATACTTAAATCGTTTATACCTTTTGTTAAACTATTTAAAACAAATATGTTTTAATTTCTTCAAGTTTGGCTAGTATTTGGAAGATATTGACATGAATATGTAACTTTTTGCATCAAAAATTGATAGTTTAAGCTGATATTTGTAGTATTGATGCGGTTTTAGGTACGATATGAGTCGGAGAGGAATCTGTTTAAAATGAGAAGGAAAAACCTGCTATTAATTCAAGAAAGTGAATTTTTAAGTAGTTACCGACAGTTTTAATGTAGATTTCAGGCCGTTAAGTCATGAAAATGCCTATTTTGAATATAATCTACCGTAAATCAAGGGCGAAAACCAATTTTTTGTTCGTTTTAATAAGAAGCAATCTTCAGAGCACTAATTGGTATTAATTGTAATTCGAAGGAGGTTTCGGGGGTTTAAGGTGCGCTCAAAACGATACAATGATTTAAAATTGTATCTGACGTTTCGTTTTAATAAGAAGTCATCTTCAGGGCATTAATTTGTAATAATTGGAATTTGAAGGTTATTCCGAGGGTTTTAAGTTGCGCTGAAGATGATGCAATGATTTAAAATTGTATCCGACGTTTCGTTTTAGTAAGAAGCCATCCTCAGAGCCCTAATTCGTAATAATTGCAATTTAAATTTAAGATTTCTAACCTCATCGTTAGTTGTGAGGTTATCCGATACGATATCTACGATAAGAAGAACAAATGCCAATAAATTACAAGATACTCGTCGATCATGCATTTTTGAAGATTACGGGATCCAAAAATTTATATAAAAACAAAATTACGTACAACAATAAGATGTTTTGTCATGAAGATTGGTTGGATTTCAACTTCAATAGTTATTGTTAAATGCAGATGAAAGTGCCTCTTAAAACTTCATACCATTGCGGAAATTATCATCAATTAATTATTAACAAAACAACTGTCAACAACTTCTAAAAAGATTATCCTAAAGAACTTTGCACAATTATTACAAATCCAGTAAATTTCTACCATGTTTATATTAAAAATTATAGATGACATTGAGCACTACAACATCAACGTTTTACATAACTTTTTAAAATTACTTATACGATTTAAATTATTTACATTTTTTTTCTGTCAAAATATGATTTGTAATGGCTATATTTTAAATAGATTATTTTTAATTGATTTCTTAGAATATTTTGGAAAATTTAAATTGTTTTTTTATTTATTGAAATAATAAAAAATTTGGAATATTTATACAGATAGGAAGTAAACCATTATGGACAATTGTTTTATAAAAAAAGTCTTGGATCAATCATTGCAAAGGGATAACTTCATTGAAGAAACTACTATTACAACGAGGACCAACATCTAGACATAAAGGAATATTCCGAAAAAAAGCATCACTTATATAAATATATCTAAATATAACAAGTAAGTTTTTAATAAACTCATATCGTACGTTATATGTAGTATTTTAATATTAAAAAGTTAATAGTTGCTATAATATTTCTATAAAATTAACTAGGTAATAGGTTATTTTTACAAAACAAATTATCTATTCAAATTACACAATCTAATTTTCCAATATCTTTTAGAAAATGTAAAATTTAACCTTTTTTTAAAAAATAATAAACAAATTTTCATTAACAATACAATTATGAAAAATTCCATTCATTTTCCTTTTCCTTAAAAAAACAAAATAAAATTAATTTCAGTTTTTTAATATTTACATTATAGTTTTTAAAATGAAATATTAGTACTTCACTGTTTAAATTATTTATGTATTTTCTTAAGCAACGTTTCTTTTTAAATTTACAATTTCGTATTTATTCTTTATTTATGTAGATGGACAACAAATCACCATCGACAACGTAGTGAAAAGAAAAAAAAAGTTTCAGTGAATAAATGTTATCAGAACTCGATAGGAATCTGTCGAATCAAGCAAGAAATACATTATTTGGATAAACAAATTTTAATTTAACAAGTAAGTCTTTAATATTTATTTTATAAAATATATCAAATTAAAATCAATAATTATTTTACATAGTATCGTATATTTTCTAGTTGAAAAACAAATATATACAAAGCGTAAATCTACGCCATCTATCAAGCAATTTCGGAATTACAGATTCATTTTTACTTCTTTAAGAAAATATTGTAAAACAATATCAAAACATCATGATGATATCAACAAAAATTGTAATGTCTTTCCATCGTATATAATTACTTTATTTGTCAAATCAACAATAATAATACATAATCCTATTTGTAATATTAATGACAAATTTAAATTTATGACGTCATCAACAGTTGTGGGATTATTTGATGCGGTCTTACAATGCCCGGCCAAGTTTCAAACTATGGTAAACGCGAACACAGTTAAACATAGAAAATGTCAAAAAGAGTAAATGTCGACGAATTTTTAAATTTTGGCATGTCGTCGTCAATCGCGTGAAAAATGCATCACTGGGGTTTATTTCCAAGAGAAACAAATACATTTTACAAATTAAAGGTATTTAATATAACATTGTTAATTTTTATACGATATTATTTTCCATAACCTCTAATTCATATTCGTTTTGTTTCCGATGGTTACAGGATTCATAAAATTGCAGAAAGAGAATTGATACAAGAACTAGATGTTTCACTATCCCTAATAACGAAATAACCAAATATTCGTTTTATTTATTTCGGAAATGCAAAAAAAGCTGACGTCCCAGGTATGGGTTTAGACCATTGAAGAGCCAATTGAGAGAGCTTCAAAATGACGTACTACTCAATCACCTTGAAGCGGTCGAGAATGTGTAAAACTACCCCCAATACTAAAATAACCAAATGTTTATTTTATTTATTTCGGACTCGCAAAAAAAGCTGACGTCCCAGGTAACAAATTAGGCCATTGAAAAACCGCTTAGAAGATGCTAGTTTAACAGCAAAATTTATCATCAATGACTTATCAATAAAACGACTTCTGATAACTTCAAGAGAAATTACCATAAGAAATTTAAATAAACCATCATTGCCAATTTGGAAAGAAAATTATCCAAGTAAAATATTATTTGGATAAATGGATATAAACACAGGTAAAGTTTTATCATGTTCAAATTATAAGTCGTAATTGATATTTGATATAAAATTAACTTTTCATATAATTTTTCAAAATTATTTACACAATTCAAGTTAGTTTTATTGTTTTTGTCAACATTTACATGAATCATATATATGTGTAAGTATTTCAAATAGACGATTTTCAATTTGTTTCCCAAAATTGCTTGATAAATTTAAAATATTTTATTTACTCTTTTGACGGTAAAATTTTTTTCATGTTATAATCCTGTAGATAAAAAACAAACCATCATTAACAATTTCTCTATAAAGAATGCCTTCAATCAGTTATTGAACATGGACGGACTGATAATTTCATTCAAAAAATTACCATCACCATTTTACAAAGTCTTATATCATCTAAAAAGAAAGAAATAATTTAAAAAAATATATTTAAATGAATGAATGAAAACATGATGATGATGATAATTAATCTTAATTTTCTTTTAATATTTATATTATTACTCTTAATTTGAAATATTAGTGTTTTAATGTGTTTCATTTATTTATATATTTTTTTAAATTATTCAAGTTTTTTAAATTTTAATTTCCTAATATTTCTTTTTGAATGTAAAATTTTCCATTTATTTCTCTCAATGGAAATTTAAAAATTATTATATATTTTTAAGTAGACAATAAATCACTACCGACAACTTAGTTATAAAGAAAATCATTCATCAATTATGAAAAAAAAAAGAAGACAATTTTATTAAATAAATGATCATTGAAACTTTGTAAGTATTCGTCGAGTCATCCAAGAAATACTTCATTTAGACACAAATTTCAATTGAACAAGTGTTTTTTATATTCATTTTACGTAACCTATTACGTGTAATATCTACTACTACAAAATCAATAATTACTTTATATAATTTTTAATATTTTCCAGTTTAACACAAGAAATGTAAAACATAAATCCACACAATTTGTCAAACAAATTCGGCATTGTTTACAGATTCCTTTTTATTTCTTTTAAGAAAATAAAGTGACGACAAGAAATGAAATAAAAGAAAACTATAAAGAATAAAATATCGTTTATTTAAAAAAAAAATTAAAATGAATATCACATGCGATATTAAAAATATTCATTACTACATAAATTACTTCCCTTCCTGAAGTATTATAATTAAGAAAAAAGTAAAAGAAACAATAATAATGCGGATAATTACAGATTATTTTTAAATATATTTTTGCATTTTTGATGTTTCAATATCTTAACGAAATTACCAAAAAACTATAATAATTTTCTAAAATTTCATCGCATGTAATTGCCTGATAATATCATATAAAATATCAAATAATTGCCTAATTCGTGAAATTAACAATATGAAATATATTCTAACGTGAAATTTGTGACGCCATTGACAGTTGCGACGTTATCCAATACGGTTCTGCAGTGCCTTTTCCGAATTTGAATCTATGGTAGACACAACCATATTCGAACACGAAGAAGAGTCGTTGAAGACGCCGAGATGGGAACAAGATTTTGGAATATCGTCGTTCATCGCGCAAAGAATACATCGCGGGGATTTATTTTGAGAAGAAACAGAAATATTTCATACATAACAGGTATTTAATATAGAATTTTAAATTGTTACTTGACTTAATTTTTTATAACCTCTAACTCTTTTTCATATTGTTTTAGGTGATTAGGATACCCAAGAAATTACGCAAAAGCAAAACAATACGATAATAGAAAAGTGAGCATACAGAAAAATATTTGATATGATTCAACAACAAGGTGTTTAGTCATAAAGAATGATTCCAATTCGGATTAGATAGTTTTCATCAAGTACGAGTGAATATACCTCTTACAACATAAAAATTACCCCGAGTTAGTTATCAAAGAAACAATTGTAGACAACTTCTAAAGAAATTGTCATAAGGAACTTGCCAAAATTGCCATCACCGATTTGAAATGGATATATTTCTGCAAATGAACAACAAACCATCATTGACCATTGATGATCACTTTTATGAAGAATGTCTTTGACCATTCATCCAAAAAAAAAGCCGTTGATAATTTCATCAAAAAGATTACCGTTGTGACCCTACAAGGACCGATGTCATCTAGACGAGAAGAGGTTTTACAAGAAATAGGATACTCGAATAAAAAGATTCAAATGTACCAAGCAAGTTTTAAATAAACTCATATTGTATATTATATGTAGTGTTTCATATTAAAAAGTTAATAATTTATGTAATGCTTTTATGAAATTGATTAAGTTACTCAATTATTTTTATGGCACTAACTTTTAATATATATTGAATGATTTATATTTTAAACATTTCAATACTTAAATCGTTTATACCTTTTGTTAAACTATTTAAAACAAATATGTTTTAATTTCTTCAAGTTTGGCTAGTATTTGGAAGATATTGACATGAATATGTAACTTTTTGCATCAAAAATTGATAGTTTAAGCTGATATTTGTAGTATTGATGCGGTTTTAGGTACGATATGAGTCGGAGAGGAATCTGTTTAAAATGAGAAGGAAAAACCTGCTATTAATTCAAGAAAGTGAATTTTTAAGTAGTTACCGACAGTTTTAATGTAGATTTCAGGCCGTTAAGTCATGAAAATGCCTATTTTGAATATAATCTACCGTAAATCAAGGGCGAAAACCAATTTTTTGTTCGTTTTAATAAGAAGCAATCTTCAGAGCACTAATTGGTATTAATTGTAATTCGAAGGAGGTTTCGGGGGTTTAAGGTGCGCTCAAAACGATACAATGATTTAAAATTGTATCTGACGTTTCGTTTTAATAAGAAGTCATCTTCAGGGCATTAATTTGTAATAATTGGAATTTGAAGGTTATTCCGAGGGTTTTAAGTTGCGCTGAAGATGATGCAATGATTTAAAATTGTATCCGACGTTTCGTTTTAGTAAGAAGCCATCCTCAGAGCCCTAATTCGTAATAATTGCAATTTAAATTTAAGATTTCTAACCTCATCGTTAGTTGTGAGGTTATCCGATACGATATCTACGATAAGAAGAACAAATGCCAATAAATTACAAGATACTCGTCGATCATGCATTTTTGAAGATTACGGGATCCAAAAATTTATATAAAAACAAAATTACGTACAACAATAAGATGTTTTGTCATGAAGATTGGTTGGATTTCAACTTCAATAGTTATTGTTAAATGCAGATGAAAGTGCCTCTTAAAACTTCATACCATTGCGGAAATTATCATCAATTAATTATTAACAAAACAACTGTCAACAACTTCTAAAAAGATTATCCTAAAGAACTTTGCACAATTATTACAAATCCAGTAAATTTCTACCATGTTTATATTATAAATTATAGATGACATTGAGCACTACAACATCAACGTTTCACATAACTTTTTAAAATTACTTATACGATTTAAATTATTTACATTTTTTTTCTGTCAAAATATGATTTGTAATGGCTATATTTTAAATAGATTATTTTTAATTGATTTCTTAGAATATTTTGGAAAATTTAAATTGTTTTTTTATTTATTGAAATAATAAAAAATTTGGAATATTTATACAGATAGAAAGTAAACCATTATCGACAATTGTTTTATAAAAAATGTCTTGGACCAATCATTGCAAAGGGATAACTTCATTGAAGAAACTACTATTACAATGAGGACCAACATCTAGACATAAAGGAATATTCCGAAAAAAAGCATCACTTATATAAATATATCTAAATATAACAAGTAAGTTTTTAATAAACTCATATCGTACGTTATATGTAGTATTTTAATATTAAAAAGTTAATAGTTACTATAATATTTTTATAAAATTAACTAGGTAATAGGTTATTTTTACAAAACAAATTATCTATTCAAATTACACAATCTAATTTTCCAACATTTTTAATTTTTATACGATATTATTTTCCATAACCTCTAATTCATATTCGTTTTGTTTCCGATGGTTACAGGATTCAAAAAATTGCAGAAAGAGAATTGATACAAGAACTAGATGTTTCACTACCCCTAGTAACGAAATAACCAAATATTCGTTTTATTTATTTCGGAAACGCAAAAAAAGCTGACGTCCCAGGTATGGGTTTAGACCATTGAAGAGCCATTTGAGAGAGCTTCAAAATGACGTACTACTCAATCACCTAGAAGCGGTCGAGAATGTGTAAAACTACCCCCAATACTAAAATAACCAAATGTTTATTTTATTTATTTCGGACTCGCAAAAAAAGCTGACGTCCCAGGTAACAAATTAGGCCATTGAAAAACCGCTTAGATGAGGGTAGTTTAACAGCAAAATTTATCATCAATGAGTTATCAATAAAACGACTTCTGATAACTTCAAGAGAAATTACCATAAGAAATTTAAATAAACCATCATTGCCAATTTGGAAAGAAAATTATCCAAGTAAAATATTATTTGGATAAATTTATATAAACACAGGTAAAGTTTTATCATGTTCAAATTATAAGTCGTAATTGATATTTGATATAGAATTAACATTTTATATAATTTTTCAAAATTATTTACACAATTCAAGTTAGTTTTATTGTTTTTGTCAACATTTACATGAATCATAAATATGTGTAAGTATTTCAAATAGACGATTTTCAATTTGTTTCCCAAAATTGCATGATAAATTTAAAATATTTTATTTACTCTTTTGACGGTAACATTTTTTTCATGTTATAATCCTGTAGATAAAAAACAAACCATCATTAACAATTTCTCTATAAAGAATGCCTTCAATCAGTTATTGAACATGGACCGACTGATAATTTCATTCAAAAAATTACCATCACCATTTTACAAAGACTTATATCATCTAAAAAGGAAAGAAATAATTTAAAAAAATATATTTAAATGAATGAATGAAAACATGATGATGATGATAATTAATCTTAATTTTCTTTTAATATTTATATTATTACTCTTAATTTGAAATATTAGTGTTTTAATGTGTTTCATTTATTTATATATTTTTTTAAATTATTCAAGTTTTTTAAATTTTAATTTCCTAATATTTCTTTTTGAATGTAAAATTTTCCATTTATTTCTCTCAATGGAAATTTAAAAATTATTATATATTTTTAAGTAGACAATAAATCACTACCGACAACTTAGTTATAAAGAAAATCATTCATCAATTATGAAAAAAAAAGGAAGACAATTTTATTAAATAAATGATCATTGAAACTTTGTAAGTATTTGTCGAGTCATCCAAGAAATACTTCATTTAGACACAAATTTCAATTGAACAAGTGTTTTTTATATTCATTTTATGTAACATATTACGTGTAATATCTACTACTACAAAATCAATAATTGCTTTATATAATGTTTAATATTTTCCAGTTTAACACAAGAAATGTAAAACATAAATCCACACAATTTGTCAAACAAATTCGGCATTGTTTACAGATTCCTTTTTATTTCTTTTAAGAAAATAAAGTGACGACAAGAAATGAAATAAAAGAAAACTATAAAGAATAAAATATCGTTTATTTAAAAAAAAAATTCAAATGAATATCACATGCTATATTAAAAATATTCATTACTACATAAATTACTTCCCTTCCTGAAGTATTATAATTAAGAAAAAAGTAAAAGAAACAATAATAATGCGGATAATTACAGATTATTTTTAAATATATTTTTGCATTTTTGATGTTTCAATATCTTAACGAAATTACCAAAAAACTATAATAATTTTCTAATATTTCATCGCATGTAATTGCCTAATAATATCATATATAATATCAAATAATTGCCTAATTCGAGGAATTAACAATATGAAATATATTCTAACGTGAAATTTGTGACGCCATTGACAGTTGCGACGTTATCCAATACGGTTCTGCAGTGCCTTTTCCGAATTTGAATCCATGGTAGACACAACCATATTCGAACACGAAGAGACGTTGAAGACGCTGAGATGAGAACATGGTGCAAATTTCAAGATTTTGGAATATCGTCGTTCATCGCGCAAAGAATACATCGCGGGGATTTATTTTGAGAAGAAACAGAAATATTTCATACATAACAGGTATTTAATATAGAATTTTAAATTGTTACTTGACTTAATTTTTTATAACCTCTAACTCTTTTTCATATTGTTTTAGGTGATTAGGATACCCAAGAAATTACGCAAAAGCAAAACAATACGATAATAGAAAAGTGAGCATACAGAAAAATATTTGATATGATTCAACAACAAGGTGTTTAGTCATAAAGAATGATTCCAATTCGGATTAGATAGTTTTCATCAAGTACGAGTGAATATACCTCTTACAACATAAAAATTACCCCGAGTTAGTTATCAAAGAAACAATTGTAGACAACTTCTAAAGAAATTGTCATAAGGAACTTGCCAAAATTGCCATCACCGATTTGAAATGGATATATTTCTGCAAATGAACAACAAACCATCATTGACCATTGATGATCACTTTTATGAAGAATGTCTTTGACCATTCATCCAAAAAAAAAGCCGTTGATAATTTCATCAAAAAGATTACCGTTGTGACCCTACAAGGACCGATGTCATCTAGACGAGAAGAGGTTTTACAAGAAATAGGATACTCGAATAAAAAGATTCAAATGTACCAAGCAAGTTTTAAATAAACTCATATTGTATATTATATGTAGTGTTTCATATTAAAAAGTTAATAATTTATGTAATGCTTTAATGAAATTGATTAAGTTACTCAATTATTTTTATGGCACTAACTTTTAATATATATTGAATGATTTATATTTTAAACATTTCAATACTTAAATCGTTTATACCTTTTGTTAAACTATTTAAAACAAATATGTTTTAATTTCTTCAAGTTTGGCTAGTATTTGGAAGATATTGACATGAATATGTAACTTTTTGCATCAAAAATTGATAGTTTAAGCTGATATTTGTAGTATTGATGCGGTTTTAGGTACGATATGAGTCGGAGAGGAATCTGTTTAAAATGAGAAGGAAAAACCTGCTATTAATTCAAGAAAGTGAATTTTTAAGTAGTTACCGACAGTTTTAATGTAGATTTCAGGCCGTTAAGTCATGAAAATGCCTATTTTGAATATAATCTACCGTAAATCAAGGGCGAAAACCAATTTTTTGTTCGTTTTAATAAGAAGCAATCTTCAGAGCACTAATTGGTATTAATTGTAATTCGAAGGAGGTTTCGGGGGTTTAAGGTGCGCTCAAAACGATACAATGATTTAAAATTGTATCCGACGTTTCGTTTTAATAAGAAGTCATCTTCAGGGCATTAATTTGTAATAATTGGAATTTGAAGGTTATTCCGAGGGTTTTAAGTTGCGCTGAAGATGATGCAATGATTTAAAATTGTATCCGACGTTTCGTTTTAGTAAGAAGCCATCCTCAGAGCCCTAATTCGTAATAATTGCAATTTAAATTTAAGATTTCTAACCTCATCGTTAGTTGTGAGGTTATCCGATACGATATCTACGATAAGAAGAACAAATGCCAATAAATTACAAGATACTCGTCGATCATGCATTTTTGAAGATTACGGGATCCAAAAATTTATATAAAAACAAAATTACGTACAACAATAAGATGTTTTGTCATGAAGATTGGTTGGATTTCAACTTCAATAGTTATTGTTAAATGCAGATGAAAGTGCCTCTTAAAACTTCATACCATTGCGGAAATTATCATCAATTAATTATTAACAAAACAACTGTCAACAACTTCTAAAAAGATTATCCTAAAGAACTTTGCACAATTGTTATTACAAATTCAACTACAAAAATATCACTTAATAAAAATATCACTCAAATAAATAAATACAAACATATCCAGTAAATTTCTACCATGTTTATATTATAAATTATAGATGACATTGAGCACTACAACATCAACGTTTCACATAACTTTTTAAAATTACTTATACGATTTAAATTATTTACATTTTTTTTCTGTCAAAATATGATTTGTAATGGCTATATTTTAAATAGATTATTTTTAATTGATTTCTTAGAATATTTTGGAAAATTTAAATTGTTTTTTTATTTATTGAAATAATAAAAAATTTGGAATATTTATGCAGATAGAAAGTAAACCATTATCGACAATTGTTTTATAAAAAATGTCTTGGACCAATCATTGCAAAGGGATAACTTCATTGAAGAAACTACTATTACAATGAGGACCAACATCTAGACATAAAGGAATATTCCGAAAAAAAGCATCACTTATATAAATATATCTAAATATAACAAGTAAGTTTTTAATAAACTCATATCGTACGTTATATGTAGTATTTTAATATTAAAAAGTTAATAGTTACTATAATATTTTTATAAAATTAACTAGGTAATAGGTTATTTTTACAAAACAAATTATCTATTCAAATTACACAATCTAATTTTCCAATATCTTTTATAAAATGTATAATTTAACCTTTTTTAAAAAATAATAAAAATAATAAACAAATTTTCATTAACAATACAATTATTCATTTTCCTTTTCCTTAAAAAAACAAAATAAAACTAATTTCAGTTTTTTAATATTTACATCATAGTTTTTAAAATTAAATATTAGTACTTCACTGTTTAAATTATTTATGTATTTTCTTAAGCAACGTTTCTTTTTAAATTTACAATTTCGTATTTATTCTTTATTTATGTAGATGGACAACAAATCACCATCGACAACGTAGTGAAAAGAAAAAAAAAGTTTCAGTGAATAAATGTTATCAGAACTCGATAGGAATCTGTCGAATCAAGCAAGAAATACATTATTTGGATAAACAAATTTTAATTTAACAAGTAAGTCTTTAATATTTATTTTATAAAATATATCAAATTAAAATCAATAATTATTTTACATAGTATCGTATATTTTCTAGCTGAAAAACAAATATATACAAAGCGTAAATCTACGCCATCTATCAAGCAATTTCGGAATTACAGATTCATTTTTACTTCTTTAAGAAAATATTGTAAAACAATATCAAAACATCATGATGATATCAACAAAAATTGTAATGTCTTTCCATCGTATATAATTACTTTATTTGTCAAATCAACAATAATAATACATAATCCTATTTGTAATATTAATGACAAATTTAAATTTATGACGTCATCAACAGTTGTGGGATTATTTGATGCGGTCTTACAATGCCCGGCCAAGTTTCAAACTATGGTAAACGCGAACACAGTTAAACATAGAAAATGTCAAAAAGAGTAAATGTCGACGAATTTTTAAATTTTGGCATGTCGTCGTCAATCGCGTGAAAAATGCATCACTGGGGTTTATTTCCAAGAGAAACAAATACATTTTACAAATTAAAGGTATTTAATATAACATTGTTAATTTTTATACGATATTATTTTCCATAACCTCTAATTCATATTCGTTTTGTTTCCGATGGTTACAGGATTCATAAAATTGCAGAAAGAGAATTGATACAAGAACTAGATGTTTCACTATCCCTAATAACGAAATAACCAAATATTCGTTTTATTTATTTCGGAAATGCAAAAAAAGCTGACGTCCCAGGTATGGGTTTAGACCATTGAAGAGCCAATTGAGAGAGCTTCAAAATGACGTACTACTCAATCACCTTGAAGCGGTCGAGAATGTGTAAAACTACCCCCAATACTAAAATAACCAAATGTTTATTTTATTTATTTCGGACTCGCAAAAAAAGCTGACGTCCCAGGTAACAAATTAGGCCATTGAAAAACCGCTTAGAAGATGCTAGTTTAACAGCAAAATTTATCATCAATGACTTATCAATAAAACGACTTCTGATAACTTCAAGAGAAATTACCATAAGAAATTTAAATAAACCATCATTGCCAATTTGGAAAGAAAATTATCCAAGTAAAATATTATTTGGATAAATGGATATAAACACAGGTAAAGTTTTATCATGTTCAAATTATAAGTCGTAATTGATATTTGATATAAAATTAACTTTTCATATAATTTTTCAAAATTATTTACACAATTCAAGTTAGTTTTATTGTTTACAAAGTCTTATATCATCTAAAAAGAAAGAAATAATTTAAAAAAATATATTTAAATGAATGAATGAAAACATGATGATGATGATAATTAATCTTAATTTTCTTTTAATATTTATATTTTTACTCTTAATTTGAAATATTAGTGTTTTAATGTGTTTCATTTATTTATATATTTTTTTAAATTATTCAAGTTTTTTAAATTTTAATTTCCTAATATTTCTTTTTGAATGTAAAATTTTCCATTTATTTCTCTCAATGGAAATTTAAAAATTATTATATATTTTTAAGTAGACAATAAATCACTACCGACAACTTAGTTATAAAGAAAATCATTCATCAATTATGAAAAAAAAAAAGAAGACAATTTTATTAAATAAATGATCATTGAAACTTTGTAAGTATTCGTCGAGTCATCCAAGAAATACTTCATTTAGACACAAATTTCAATTGAACAAGTGTTTTTTATATTCATTTTATGTAACCTATTACGTGTAATATCTACTACTACAAAATCAATAATTACTTTATATAATTTTTAATATTTTCCAGTTTAACACAAGAAATGTAAAACATAAATCCACACAATTTGTCAAACAAATTCGGCATTGTTTACAGATTCCTTTTTATTTCTTTTAAGAAAATAAAGTGACGACAAGAAATGAAATAAAAGAAAACTATAAAGAATAAAATATCGTTTATTTAAAAAAAAAATTAAAATGAATATCACATGCGATATTAAAAATATTCATTACTACATAAATTACTTCCCTTCCTGAAGTATTATAATTAAGAAAAAAGTAAAAGAAACAATAATAATGCGGATAATTACAGATTATTTTTAAATATATTTTTGCATTTTTGATGTTTCAATATCTTAACGAAATTACCAAAAAACTATAATAATTTTCTAAAATTTCATCGCATGTAATTGCCTGATAATATCATATAAAATATCAAATAATTGCCTAATTCGTGAAATTAACAATATGAAATATATTCTAACGTGAAATTTGTGACGCCATTGACAGTTGCGACGTTATCCAATACGGTTCTGCAGTGCCCTTCCGAATTTGAATCTATGGTATACACAACCATATTCGAACACGAAGAAGAGTCGTTGAAGACGCCGAGATGAGAACAAGATTTTGGAATATCGTCGTTCATCGCGCAAAGAATACATCGCGGGGATTTATTTTGAGAAGAAACAGAAATATTTCATACATAACATGTATTTAATATAGAATTTTAAATTGTTACGCGACTTAATTTTTTATAACCTCTAACTCTTTTTCATATTGTTTTAGTTGATTAGGATACCCAAGAAATTACGCAAAAGCAAAACAATACAGATAATAGAAAAGTGAGCATACAGAAAAATATTTGATATGATTCAACAACAAGGTGTTTAGTCATAAAGAATGATTCCAATTCGGATTAGATAGTTTTCATCAAGTACGAGTGAATATACCTCGTACAACATAAAAATTACTGCGAGTTAGTTATCAAAGAAACAATTGTAGACAACTTCTAAAGAAATTGTCATAAGGAACTTGCCAAAATTGCCATCACCGATTTGAGATGGATATATTTCTGCAAATGAACAACAAACCATCATTGACCATTGATGATCACTTTTATGAAGAATGTCTTTGACCATTCATCCAAAAAAAAAGCCGTTGATAATTTCATCAAAAAGATTACCGTTGTGACCCTGCAAGGACCGATGTCATCTAGACGAGAAGAGGTTTTCCAAGAAATAGGATACTCGAATAAAAAGATTCAAATGTACCAAGCAAGTTTTAAATAAACTCATATCGTATATTATATGTAGTGTTTCATATTAAAAAGTTAATAATTGATGTAATGCTTTTATGAAATTGATTAAGTTAGTCAATTATTTTTACGGCACTAACTTTTAATATATATTGTACAACATACAACAATGAGATGTTTTGTCATGAAGATTGGTTGGATTTCAACTTCAATAGTTATTGTTAAATGCAGATGAAAGTGCCTCGTAAAACTTCATACCATTGCGGAAATTATCATCAATTAATTATTAACAAAACAACTGTCAACAACTTCTAAAAAGATTATCCTAAAGAACTTTGCACAATTGTTATTACAAATCCAGTAAATTTCTACCATGTTTATATTAAAAATTATAGATGACATTGAGCACTACAACATCAACGTTTTACATAACTTTTTAAAATTACTTATACGATTTAAATTATTTACATTTTTTTTCTGTCAAAATATGATTTGTAATGGCTATATTTTAAATAGATTATTTTTAATTGATTTCTTAGAATATTTTGGAAAATTTAAATTGTTTTTTTATTTATTGAAATAATAAAAAATTTGGAATATTTATACAGATAGGAAGTAAACCATTATGGACAATTGTTTTATAAAAAAAGTCTTGGACCAATCATTGCAAAGGGATAACTTCATTGAAGAAACTACTATTACAACGAGGACCAACATCTAGACATAAAGGAATATTCCGAAAAAAAGCATCACTTATATAAATATATCTAAATATAACAAGTAAGTTTTTAATTAACTCATATCGTACGTTATATGTAGTATTTTAATATTAAAAAGTTAATAGTTGCTATAATATTTCTATAAAATTAACTAGGTAATAGGTTATTTTTACAAAACAAATTATCTATTCAAATTACACAATCTAATTTTCCAATATCTTTTAGAAAATGTAAAATTTAACCTTTTTTTAAAAAATAATAAACAAATTTTCATTAACAATACAATTATGAAAAATTCCATTCATTTTCCTTTTCCTTAAAAAAACAAAATAAAATTAATTTCAGTTTTTTAATATTTACATTATAGTTTTTAAAATGAAATATTAGTACTTCACTGTTTAAATTATTTATGTATTTTCTTAAGCAACGTTTCTTTTTAAATTTACAATTTCGTATTTATTCTTTATTTATGTAGATGGACAACAAATCACCATCGACAACGTAGTGAAAAGAAAAAAAAAGTTTCAGTGAATAAATGTTATCAGAACTCGATAGGAATCTGTCGAATCAAGCAAGAAATACATTATTTGGATAAACAAATTTTAATTTAACAAGTAAGTCTTTAATATTTATTTTATAAAATATATCAAATTAAAATCAATAATTATTTTACATAGTATCGTATATTTTCTAGCTGAAAAACAAATATATACAAAGCGTAAATCTACGCCATCTATCAAGCAATTTCGGAATTACAGATTCATTTTTACTTCTTTAAGAAAATATTGTAAAACAATATCAAAACATCATGATGATATCAACAAAAATTGTAATGTCTTTCCATCGTATATAATTACTTTATTTGTCAAATCAACAATAATAATACATAATCCTATTTGTAATATTAATGACAAATTTAAATTTATGACGTCATCAACAGTTGTGGGATTATTTGATGCGGTCTTACAATGCCCGGCCAAGTTTCAAACTATGGTAAACGCGAACACAGTTAAACATAGAAAATGTCAAAAAGAGTAAATGTCGACGAATTTTTAAATTTTGGCATGTCGTCGTCAATCGCGTGAAAAATGCATCACTGGGGTTTATTTCCAAGAGAAACAAATACATTTTACAAATTAAAGGTATTTAATATAACATTGTTAATTTTTATACGATATTATTTTCCATAACCTCTAATTCATATTCGTTTTGTTTCCGATGGTTACAGGATTCATAAAATTGCAGAAAGAGAATTGATACAAGAACTAGATGTTTCACTATCCCTAATAACGAAATAACCAAATATTCGTTTTATTTATTTCGGAAATGCAAAAAAAGCTGACGTCCCAGGTATGGGTTTAGACCATTGAAGAGCCAATTGAGAGAGCTTCAAAATGACGTACTACTCAATCACCTTGAAGCGGTCGAGAATGTGTAAAACTACCCCCAATACTAAAATAACCAAATGTTTATTTTATTTATTTCGGACTCGCAAAAAAAGCTGACGTCCCAGGTAACAAATTAGGCCATTGAAAAACCGCTTAGAAGATGCTAGTTTAACAGCAAAATTTATCATCAATGACTTATCAATAAAACGACTTCTGATAACTTCAAGAGAAATTACCATAAGAAATTTAAATAAACCATCATTGCCAATTTGGAAAGAAAATTATCCAAGTAAAATATTATTTGGATAAATGGATATAAACACAGGTAAAGTTTTATCATGTTCAAATTATAAGTCGTAATTGATATTTGATATAAAATTAACTTTTCATATAATTTTTCAAAATTATTTACACAATTCAAGTTAGTTTTATTGTTTTTGTCAACATTTACATGAATCATATATATGTGTAAGTATTTCAAATAGACGATTTTCAATTTGTTTCCCAAAATTGCTTGATAAATTTAAAATATTTTATTTACTCTTTTGACGGTAAAATTTTTTTCATGTTATAATCCTGTAGATAAAAAACAAACCATCATTAACAATTTCTCTATAAAGAATGCCTTCAATCAGTTATTGAACATGGACGGACTGATAATTTCATTCAAAAAATTACCATCACCATTTTACAAAGTCTTATATCATCTAAAAAGAAAGAAATAATTTAAAAAAATATATTTAAATGAATGAATGAAAACATGATGATGATGATAATTAATCTTAATTTTCTTTTAATATTTATATTATTACTCTTAATTTGAAATATTAGTGTTTTAATGTGTTTCATTTATTTATATATTTTTTTAAATTATTCAAGTTTTTTAAATTTTAATTTCCTAATATTTCTTTTTGAATGTAAAATTTTCCATTTATTTCTCTCAATGGAAATTTAAAAATTATTATATATTTTTAAGTAGACAATAAATCACTACCGACAACTTAGTTATAAAGAAAATCATTCATCAATTATGAAAAAAAAAAGAAGACAATTTTATTAAATAAATGATCATTGAAACTTTGTAAGTATTCGTCGAGTCATCCAAGAAATACTTCATTTAGACACAAATTTCAATTGAACAAGTGTTTTTTATATTCATTTTACGTAACCTATTACGTGTAATATCTACTACTACAAAATCAATAATTACTTTATATAATTTTTAATATTTTCCAGTTTAACACAAGAAATGTAAAACATAAATCCACACAATTTGTCAAACAAATTCGGCATTGTTTACAGATTCCTTTTTATTTCTTTTAAGAAAATAAAGTGACGACAAGAAATGAAATAAAAGAAAACTATAAAGAATAAAATATCGTTTATTTAAAAAAAAAATTAAAATGAATATCACATGCGATATTAAAAATATTCATTACTACATAAATTACTTCCCTTCCTGAAGTATTATAATTAAGAAAAAAGTAAAAGAAACAATAATAATGCGGATAATTACAGATTATTTTTAAATATATTTTTGCATTTTTGATGTTTCAATATCTTAACGAAATTACCAAAAAACTATAATAATTTTCTAAAATTTCATCGCATGTAATTGCCTGATAATATCATATAAAATATCAAATAATTGCCTAATTCGTGAAATTAACAATATGAAATATATTCTAACGTGAAATTTGTGACGCCATTGACAGTTGCGACGTTATCCAATACGGTTCTGCAGTGCCTTTTCCGAATTTGAATCTATGGTAGACACAACCATATTCGAACACGAAGAAGAGTCGTTGAAGACGCCGAGATGGGAACAAGATTTTGGAATATCGTCGTTCATCGCGCAAAGAATACATCGCGGGGATTTATTTTGAGAAGAAACAGAAATATTTCATACATAACAGGTATTTAATATAGAATTTTAAATTGTTACTTGACTTAATTTTTTATAACCTCTAACTCTTTTTCATATTGTTTTAGGTGATTAGGATACCCAAGAAATTACGCAAAAGCAAAACAATACGATAATAGAAAAGTGAGCATACAGAAAAATATTTGATATGATTCAACAACAAGGTGTTTAGTCATAAAGAATGATTCCAATTCGGATTAGATAGTTTTCATCAAGTACGAGTGAATATACCTCTTACAACATAAAAATTACCCCGAGTTAGTTATCAAAGAAACAATTGTAGACAACTTCTAAAGAAATTGTCATAAGGAACTTGCCAAAATTGCCATCACCGATTTGAAATGGATATATTTCTGCAAATGAACAACAAACCATCATTGACCATTGATGATCACTTTTATGAAGAATGTCTTTGACCATTCATCCAAAAAAAAAGCCGTTGATAATTTCATCAAAAAGATTACCGTTGTGACCCTACAAGGACCGATGTCATCTAGACGAGAAGAGGTTTTACAAGAAATAGGATACTCGAATAAAAAGATTCAAATGTACCAAGCAAGTTTTAAATAAACTCATATGGTATATTATATGTAGTGTTTCATATTAAAAAGTTAATAATTTATGTAATGCTTTTATGAAATTGATTAAGTTACTCAATTATTTTTATGGCACTAACTTTTAATATATATTGAATGATTTATATTTTAAACATTTCAATACTTAAATCGTTTATACCTTTTGTTAAACTATTTAAAATAAATATGTTTTAATTTCTTCAAGTTTGGGTAGTATTTGGAAGATATTGACATGAATATGTAACTTTTTGCATCAAAAATTGATAGTTTAAGCTGATATTTGTAGTATTGATGCGGTTTTAGGTACGATATGAGTCGGAGAGGAATCTGTTTAAAATGAGAAGGAAAAACCTGCTATTAATTCAAGAAAGTGAATTTTTAAGTAGTTACCGACAGTTTTAATGTAGATTTCAGGCCGTTAAGTCATGAAAATGCCTATTTTGAATATAATCTACCGTAAATCAAGGGCGAAAACCAATTTTTTGTTCGTTTTAATAAGAAGCAATCTTCAGAGCACTAATTGGTATTAATTGTAATTCGAAGGAGGTTTCGGGGGTTTAAGGTGCGCTCAAAACGATACAATGATTTAAAATTGTATCTGACGTTTCGTTTTAATAAGAAGTCATCTTCAGGGCATTAATTTGTAATAATTGGAATTTGAAGGTTATTCCGAGGGTTTTAAGTTGCGCTGAAGATGATGCAATGATTTAAAATTGTATCCGACGTTTCGTTTTAGTAAGAAGCCATCCTCAGAGCCCTAATTCGTAATAATTGCAATTTAAATTTAAGATTTCTAACCTCATCGTTAGTTGTGAGGTTATCCGATACGATATCTACGATAAGAAGAACAAATGCCAATAAATTACAAGATACTCGTCGATCATGCATTTTTGAAGATTACGGGATCCAAAAATTTATATAAAAACAAAATTACGTACAACAATAAGATGTTTTGTCATGAAGATTGGTTGGATTTCAACTTCAATAGTTATTGTTAAATGCAGATGAAAGTGCCTCTTAAAACTTCATACCATTGCGGAAATTATCATCAATTAATTATTAACAAAACAACTGTCAACAACTTCTAAAAAGATTATCCTAAAGAACTTTGCACAATTGTTATTACAAATCCAGTAAATTTCTACCATGTTTATATTATAAATTATAGATGACATTGAGCACTACAACATCAACGTTTCACATAACTTTTTAAAATTACTTATACGATTTAAATTATTTACATTTTTTTTCTGTCAAAATATGATTTGTAATGGCTATATTTTAAATAGATTATTTTTAATTGATTTCTTAGAATATTTTGGAAAATTTAAATTGTTTTTTTATTTATTGAAATAATAAAAAATTTGGAATATTTATACAGATAGAAAGTAAACCATTATCGACAATTGTTTTATAAAAAATGTCTTGGACCAATCATTGCAAAGGGATAACTTCATTGAAGAAACTACTATTACAATGAGGACCAACATCTAGACATAAAGGAATATTCCGAAAAAAAGCATCACTTATATAAATATATCTAAATATAACAAGTAAGTTTTTAATAAACTCATATCGTACGTTATATGTAGTATTTTAATATTAAAAAGTTAATAGTTGCTATAATATTTTTACAAAATTAACTAGGTGATAGGTTATTTTTACAAAACAAATTATCTATTCAAATTACACAATCTAATTTTCCAATATCTTTTATAAAATGTAAAATTTAACCTTTTTTAAAAAATAATAAAAATAATAAACAAATTTTCATTAACAATACAATTATGAAAAATTCCATTCATTTTCCTTTTCCTTAAAAAAACAAAATAAAACTAATTTCAGTTTTTTAATATTTACATCATAGTTTTTAAAATGAAATATTAGTACTTCACTGTTTAAATTATTTATGTATTTTCTTAAGCAACGTTTCTTTTTAAATTTACAATTTCGTATTTATTCTTTATTTATGTAGATGGACAACAAATCACCATCGACAACGTAATGAAAAGAACAAAAAAGTTTCAGTGAATAAATGTTATCAGAACTCGATAGGAATCTGTCGAATCAAGCAAGAAATACATTATTTGGATAAACAAATTTTAATTTAACAAGTAAGTCTTTAATATTTATTTTATAAAATATATCAAATTAAAATCAATAATTATTTTACATAGTATCGTATATTTTCAAGCTGAAAAGCAAATATATACAAAGCGTAAATCTACGCCATCTATCAAGCAATTTCGGAATTACAGATTCCTTTTTACTTCTTTAAGAAAATAATGTAAAACAATATCAAAACATCATGATGAAATCAACAAAAATTGTAATGTCTTTCCATCGTATATAATTACTTTATTTATCAAATCAACAATAATAATACATAATCCTAATTGTAATATTAATGACAATTTTAAATTTATGACGTCATCAACAGTTGTGGGATTATTTGATGCGGTTTTACAATGTCCATCCAAGTTTCAAACTATGGTAAACGCGAACACAGTTAATCATAGAAAATGTCAAAATGGGTAAATGTCGATGAATTTTTAAATTTTGGCATGTCGTCGTCAATCGCGTGAAAAATGCATCTTTGGGGTTTATTTCCAAGAGAAACAAATACATTTTACAAATTAAAGGTATTTAATATAACATTTTTAATTTTTATACGATATTATTTTCCATAACCTCTAATTCATATTCGTTTTGTTTCCGATGGTTACAGGATTCAAAAAATTGCAGAAAGAGAATTGATACAAGAACTAGATGTTTCACTACCCCTAATAACGAAATAACCAAATATTCGTTTTATTTATTTCGGAAACGCAAAAAAAGCTGACGTCCCAGGTATGGGTTTAGATCATTGAAGAGCCACTTGAGAGAGCTTCAAAATGACGTACTACTCAATCACCTTGAAGCGGTCGAGAATGTGTAAAACTACCCCCAATACTAAAATAACCAAATGTTTATTTTATTTATTTCGGCCTCGCCAAAAAAGCTGACGTCCCAGGTAACAAATTAGGCCATTGAAAAACCGCTTAGAAGAGGGTAGTTTAACAGCAAAATTTATCATCAATGAGTTATCAGTAAGACGACTTCTGATAACTTCAAGAGAAATTACCATAAGAAATTTAAATAAACCATCATTGCCAATTTGGAAAGAAAATTATCCAAGTAAAATATTATTTGGATAAATGGATATAAACACAGGTAAAGTTTTATCATGTTCAAATTATAAGTCGTAATTGATATTTGATATAAAATTAACTTTTCATATAATTTTTCAAAATTATTTACACAATTCAAGTTAGTTTTATTGTTTTTGTCAACATTTACATGAATCATATATATGTGTAAGTATTTCAAATAGACGATTTTCAATTTGTTTCCCAAAATTGCATGATAAATTTAAAATATTTTATTTACTCTTTTGACGGTAAAATTTTTTTCATGTTATAATCCTGTAAGTAAAAAACAAACCATCATTAACAATTTCTCTATAAAGAATGCCTTCAATCAGTTATTGAACATGGACCGACTGATAATTTCATTCAAAAAATTACCATCACCATTTTACAAAGACTTATATCATCTAAAAAGAAAGAAATAATTTAAAAAAATATATTTAAAATGAATGAATGAAAACATGATGATGATGATAATTAATCTTAATTTTCTTTTAATATTTATATTATTACTCTTAATTTGAAATATTAGTGTTTTAATGTGTTTCATTTATTTATATATTTTTTTAAATTATTCAAGTTTTTTAAATTTTAATTTCCTAATATTTCTTTTTGAATGTAAAATTTTCCATTTATTTCTCTCAATGGAAATTTAAAAATTATTATATATTTTTAAGTAGACAATAAATCACTACCGACAACTTAGTTATAAAGAAAATCATTCATCAATTATGAAAAAAAAAAGAAGACAATTTTATTAAATAAATGATCATTGAAACTTTGTAAGTATTCGTCGAGTCATCCAAGAAATACTTCATTTAGACACAAATTTCAATTGAACAAGTGTTTTTTATATTCATTTTATGTAACATATTACGTGTAATATCTACTACTACAAAATCAATAATTACTTTATATAATTTTTAATATTTTCCAGTTTAACACAAGAAATGTAAAACATAAATCCACACAATTTGTCAAACAAATTCGGCATTGTTTACAGATTAATTTTTATTTCTTTTAAGAAAATAAAGTGACGACAAGAAATGAAATAAAAGAAAACTATAAAGAATAAAATATCGTTTATTTAAAAAAAAATTCAAATGAATATCACATGCGATGTTAAAAATATTCATTATAATTAAGAAAAAAGTAAAAGAAACAATAATAATGCGGATAATTACAGATTATTTTTAAATATATTTTTGCATTTTTGATGTTTCAATATCTTAACGAAATTACCAAAAAACTAATAATTTTCTAATATTTCATCGCATGTAATTGCCTAATAATATCGTATATAATATCAAATAATTGCCTAATTCGTGAAATTAACAATATGAAATATATTCAACGTGAAATTTGTGACGCCATTGACAGTTGCGACGTTATCCAATACGCTTCTGCAGTGCCCGTTCCGAATTTGAATCTATGGTAGACACAACCATATTCGAACACGAAGAAGAGTCGTTGAAGACGCCGAGATGAGAACATGGTGCAAATTTCAAGATTTTGGAATATCGTCGTTCATCGCGCAAAGAATACATCGCGGGGATTTATTTTGAGAAGAAACAGAAATATTTCATACATAACAGGTATTTAATATAGAATTTTAAATTGTTACGCGACTTAATTTTTTATAACCTCTAACTCTTTTTCATATTGTTTTAGGTGATTAGGATACCCAAGAAATTACGCAAAAGCAAAACAATACAGATAATAGAAAAGTGAGCATACAGAAAAATATTTGATATGATTCAACAACAAGGTGTTTAGTCATAAAGAATGATTCCAATTCGGATTAGATAGTTTTCATCAAGTACGAGTGAATATACCTCGTACAACATAAAAATTACCCCGAGTTGGTTATCAAAGAAACAATTGTAGACAACTTCTAAAGAAATTGTCATAAGGAACACTGATTTGAGATGGATATATTTCTGCAAATGAATAACAAACCATCATTGACCATTGATGATCACTTTTATGAAGAATGTCTTTTACCATTCATCCAAAAAAAAAGCCGTTGATAATTTCATCAAAAAGATTACCGTTGTGACCCTACAAGGACCGATGTCATCTAGACGAGAAGAGGTTTTCCAAGAAATAGGATACTCGAATAAAAAGATTCAAATGTACCAAGCAAGTTTTAAATAAACTCATATCGTATGTTATATGTAGTGTTTCATATTAAAAAGTTAATAATTTATGTAATGCTTTTATGAAATTGATTAAGTTACTCAATTATTTTTAGGCACTAACTTTTAATATATATTGAATGATTTATATTTTAAACATTTCAATACTTAAATCGTTTATACCTTTTGTTAAACTATTTAAAATAAATATGTTTTAATTTCTTCAAGTTTGGCTAGTATTTGGAAGATATTGACATGAATATGTAACTTTTTGCATCAAAAATTGATAGTTTAAGCTGATATTTGTAGTATTGATGCGGTTTTAGGTACGATATGAGTCGGAGAAGCCAATTTTGACTGGAATCTGTTTAAAATGAGAAGGAAAAACCTGCTATTAATTCAAGAAAGTGAATTTTTAAGTAGTTACCGGCAGTTTTAATGTAGATTTCAGGCCGTTAAGTCATGAAAATGCCTATTTTGAATATAATCTACCGTAAATCCAGGGCGAAAACCAATTTTTTGTTCGTTTTAATAAGAAGCAATCTTCAGAGCACTAATTGGTAATAATTGTAATTTGAAGGAGGTTTCGGGGGTTTAAGGTGCGCTCAAAACGATACAATGATTTAAAATTGTATCCGACGTTTCATTTTAATAAGAAGTCATCTTCAGGGCATTAATTTGTAATAATTGGAATTTGAAGGTTATTCCGAGGGTTTTAAGTTGCGCTGAAGATGATGCAATGATTTAAAATTGTATCCGACGTTTCGTTTTAGTAAGAAGCCATCCTCAGAGCACTAATTCGTAATAATTGCAATTTAAAATTTAAATTTAAGATTTCTAACCTCATCGTTAGTTGTGAGGTTATCCGATACGATATCTACGATAAGAAGAACAAATGCCAATAAATTACAAGATACTCGTCGATCATGCATTTTTGAAGATTACGGGATCCAAAAATTTATATAAAAACAAAATTACGTACAACAATGAGATGTTTTGTCATGAAGATTGGTTGGATTTCAACTTCAATAGTTATTGTTAAATGCAGATGAAAATCCCTCGTAAAACTTCATACCATTGCGGAAATTATCATCAATTAATTATTAACAAAACAACTGTCAACAACTTCTAAAAAGATTATCCTAAAGAACTTTGCACAATTGTTATTACAAATTCGACTACAAAAATATCACTGAAATAAATAAATACAAACATATCCAGTAAATTTCTACCATGTTTATATTATAAATTATAGATGACATTGAGCACTACAACATCAATGTTTCACATAACTTTTTAAAATTACTTATACGATTTTAATTATTTACATTTTTTTTCTGTCAAAATATGATTTGTAATGGCTATATTTTAAATAGATTATTTTTAATTGATTTCTTAGAATATTTTGGAAAATTTAAATTGTTTTTTTATTTATTGAAATAATAAAAAATTTGGAATATTTATGCAGATAGAAAGTAAACCATTATCGACAATTGTTTTATAAAAAATGTCTTGGACCAATCATTGCAAAGGGATAACTTCATTGAAGAAACTACTATTACAATGAGGACCAACATCTAGACATAAAGGAATATTCCGAAAAAAAGCATCACTTATATAAATATATCTAAATATAACAAGTAAGTTTTTAATAAACTCATATCGTACGTTATATGTAGTATTTTAATATTAAAAAGTTAATAGTTACTATAATATTTTTATAAAATTAACTAGGTAATAGGTTATTTTTACAAAACAAATTATCTATTCAAATTACACAATCTAATTTTCCAATATCTTTTATAAAATGTATAATTTAACCTTTTTTAAAAAATAATAAAAATAATAAACAAATTTTCATTAACAATACAATTATTCATTTTCCTTTTCCTTAAAAAAACAAAATAAAACTAATTTCAGTTTTTTAATATTTACATCATAGTTTTTAAAATTAAATATTAGTACTTCACTGTTTAAATTATTTATGTATTTTCTTAAGCAACGTTTCTTTTTAAATTTACAATTTCGTATTTATTCTTTATTTATGTAGATGGACAACAAATCACCATCGACATAGTAATGAAAAGAAAAAAAAACTTTCAGTGAATAAATGTTATCAGAACTCGATAGGAATCTGTCGAATCAAGCAACAAATACATTATTTGGATAAACAAATTTTAATTTAACAAGTAAGTCTTTAATATTTATTTTATAAAATATATCAAATTAAAATCAATAATTATTTTACATAGTATCGTATATTTTCAAGCTGAAAAACAAATATATACAAAGCGTAAATCTACGCCATCTATCAAGCAATTTCGGAATTACAGATTCCTTTTTACTTCTTTAAGAAAATAATGTAAAACAATATCAAAACATCATGATGAAATCAACAAAAATTGTAATGTCTTTCCATCGTATATAATTACTTTATTTGTCAAATCAACAATAATAATACATAATCCTAATTGTAATATTAATGACAATTTTAAATTTATGACGTCTTCAACAGTTGTGGGATTATTTAATGCGGTTTTACATTGACCATCCAAGTTTCAAACTATGGTAAACGCGAACACAGTTAAACATAGAAAATGTCAAAATGGGTAAATGTCGATGAATTTTTAAATTTTGGCATGTCGTCGTCAATCGCGTGAAAAATGCATCATTGGGGTTTATTTCCAAGAGAAACAAATACATTTTACAAATTAAAGGTATTTAATATAACATTTTTAATTTTTATACGATATTATTTTCCATAACCTCTAATTCATATTCGTTTTGTTTCCGATGGTTACAGGATTCAAAAAATTGCAGAAAGAGAATTGATACAAGAACTAGATGTTTCACTACCCCTAATAACGAAATAAACAAATATTCGTTTTATTTATTTCGGGAACGCAAAAAAAGCTGACGTCCCAGGTATGGGTTTAGACCATTGAAGAGCCACTTGAGAGAGCTTCAAAATGACGTACTACTCAATCACCTAGAAGCGGTCGAGAATGTGTAAAACTACCCCCAATACTAAAATAACCAAATGTTTATTTTATTTATTTCAGACTCGCAAAAAAAGCTGACGTCCCAGGTAACAAATTAGGCCATTGAAAAACCGCTTAGATGAGGGTAGTTTAACAGCAAAATTTATCATCAATGAGTTATCAATAAAACGACTTCTGATAACTTCAAGAGAAATTACCATAAGAAATTTAAATAAACCATCATTGCCAATTTGGAAAGAAAATTATCCAAGTAAAATATTATTTGGATAAATGGATATAAACACAGGTAAAGTTTTATCATGTTCAAATTATAAGTCGTAATTGATATTTGATATAGAATTAACATTTTATATAATTTTTCAAAATTATTTACACAATTCAAGTTAGTTTTATTGTTTTTGTCAACATTTACATGAATCATAAATATGTGTAAGTATTTCAAATAGACGATTTTCAATTTGTTTCCCAAAATTGCATGATAAATTTAAAATATTTTATTTACTCTTTTGACGGTAACATTTTTTTCATGTTATAATCCTGTAGATAAAAAACAAACCATCATTAACAATTTCTCTATAAAGAATGCCTTCAATCAGTTATTGAACATGGACCGACTGATAATTTCATTCAAAAAATTACCATCACCATTTTACAAAGACTTATATCATCTAAAAAGAAAGAAATTATTAAAAAAAATATATTTAAATGAATGAATGAAAACATGATGATGATGATAATTAATCTTAATTTTCTTTTAATATTTATATTATTATTCTTAATTTGATATATTAGTGTTTTAATGTGTTTCATTTATTTATATATTTTTTTAAATTATTCAAGTTTTTTAAATTTTAATGGTAGACACAACCATATTCGAAGATTTTGGAATATCGTCGTTCATCGCGGGGATTTATTTTGAGAAGAAACAGAAATATTTCATACATAACAGGTATTTAATATAGAATTTTAAATTGTTACGCGACTTAATTTTTTATAACCTCTAACTCTTTTTCATATTGTTTTAGGTGATTAGGATACCCAAGAAATTACGCAAAAGCAAAACAATACAGATAGTAGAAAAGTGAGCATACAGAAAAATATTTGATATGATTCAACAACAAGGTGTTTAGTCATAAAGAATGATTCCAATTCGGATTAGATAGTTTTCATCAAGTACGAGTGAATATACCTCGTACAACATAAAAATTACTGCGAGTTAGTTATCTAAGAAACAATTGTAGACAACTTCTAAAGAAATTGTCATAAGGAACTTGCCAAAATTGCCATCACCGATTTGAGATGGATATATTTCTGCAAATGAACAACAAACCATCATTGACCATTGATGATCACTTTTATGAAGAATGTCTTTGACCATTCATCCAAAAAAAAAGCCGTTGATAATTTCATCAAAAAGATTACCGTTACCATCTAGACGAGAAGAGGTTTTCCAAGAAATAGGATACTCGAATAAAAAGATTCAAATGTACCAAGCAAGTTTTAAATAAACTCATATCGTATGTTATATGTAGTGTTTCATATTAAAAAGTTAATAATTTATGTAATGCTTTTATGAAATTGATTAAGTTACTCAATTATTTTTACGGCACTAACTTTTAATATATATTGAATGATTTATATTTTAAACATTTCAATAATTAAATCGTTTATACCTTTTGTTAAACTATTTAAAATAAATATGTTTTAATTTCTTCAAGTTTGGCTAGTATTTGGAAGATATTGACATGAATATGTAACTTTTTGCATCAAAAATTGATAGTTTAAGCTGATATTTGTAGTATTGATCCGGTTTTAGGTACGATATGAGTCGGAGAAGAATCTGTTTAAAATGAGAAGGAAAAACCTGCTATTAATTCAAGAAAGTGAATTTTTAAGTAGTTACTGGCAGTTTTAATGTAGATTTCAGGCCGTTAAGTCATGAAAATGCCTATTTTGAATATAATCAAGGGCGAAAACCAATTTTTTGTTCGTTTTAATAAGAAGCAATCTTCAGAGCACTAATTGGTAATAATTGTAATTTGAAGGAGGTTTCGGGGGTTTAAGGTGCGCTCAAAACGATACAATGATTTAAAATTGTATCCGACGTTTCGTTTTAATAAGAAGTCATCTTCAGGGCATTAATTTGTAATAATTGGAATTTGAAGGTTATTGCGAGCGTTTTAAGTTGCGCTGAAGATGATGCAATGATTTAAAATTGTATCCGACGTTTCGTTTTAGTAAGAAGCCATCCTCAGAGCACTAATTCGTAATAATTGCAATTTAAAATTTAAATTTAAGATTTCTAACCTCATCGTTAGTTGTGAGGTTATCCGATACGATATCTACGATAAGAAGAACAAATGCCAATAAATTACAAGATACTCGTCGATCATGCATTTTTGAAGATTACGGGATCCAAAAATTTATATAAAAACAAAATTACGTACAACAATGAGATGTTTTGTCATGAAGATTGGTTGGATTTCAACTTCAATAGTTATTGTTAAATGCAGATGAAAGTGCCTCGTAAAACTTCATACCATTGCGGAAATTATCATCAATTAATTATTAACAAAACAACTGTCAACAACTTCTAAAAAGATTATCCTAAAGAACTTTGCACAATTGTTATTACAAATTCAACTACAAAAATATCACTCGAATAAATAAATACAAACATATCCACTAAATTTCTACCATGTTTATATTATAAATTATAGATGACATTGAGCACTACAACATCAACGTTTCACATAACTTTTTAAAATTACTTATACGATTTAAATTATTTACATTTTTATTTTTAATTGATTTCTTAGAATATTTTGGAAAATTTAAATTGTTTTTTTATTTATTGAAATAATAAAAAATTTGTAATATTTATACAGATAGAAAGTAAACCATTATCGACAATTGTTTTATAAAAAATGTCTTGGCCCAATCATTGCAAAGGGATAACTTCATTGAAGAAACTACTATTACAACGAGGACCAACATCTAGACATAAAGGAATATTCCGAAAAAAAGCATCACTTATATAAATATATCTAAATATAACAAGTAAGTTTTTAATAAACTCTTATCGTACGTTATATGTAGTATTTTAATATTAAAAAGTTAATAGTTGCTATAATATTTTTATAAAATTAACTAGGTAATAGGTTATTTATACAAAACAAATAATCTATTCAAATTACACAATCTAATTTTCCAATATCTTTTATAAAATGTAAAATTTAACCTTTTTTTAAAAAATAAAAATAATAAACAAATTTTCATTAACAATACAATTATGAAAAATTCCATTCATTTTCCTTTTCCTTAAAAAAACAAAATAAAACTAATTTCAGTTTTTTAATATTTACATCATAGTTTTTAAAATGAAATATTAGTACTTCACTGTTTAAATTATTTATGTATTTTCTTAAGCAACGTTTCTTTTTAAATTTACAATTTCGTATTTATTCTTTATTTATGTAGATGGACAACAAATCACCATCGACAACGTAATGAAAAGAAAAAAAAAGTTTCAGTGAATAAATGTTATCAGAACTCGATAGGAATCTGTCGAATCAAGCAAGAAATACATTATTTGGATAAACAAATTTTAATTTAACAAGTACGTCTTTAATATTTATTTTATAAAATATATCAAATTAAAATCAATAATTATTTTACATAGTGTCGTATATTTTCAAGTTGAAAAACAAATATATACAAAGCGTAAATCTACGCCATCTATCAAGCAATTTCGGAATTACAGATTCCTTTTTACTTCTTTAAGAAAATAATGTAAAACAATATCAAAACATCATGATGAAATCAACAAAAATTTTAATGTCTTTCCATCGTATATAATTACTTTATTTGTCAAATCAACAATAATAATACATAATCCTAATTGTAATATTAATGACAATTTTAAATTTATGACGTCATCAACAGTTGTGGGATTATTTGATGCGGTTTTACAATGCCCATCCAAATTTCAAACTATGGTAAACGAGAACACAGTTAAACATAGAAAATGTCAAAAAGGGTAAATGTCGACGAATTTTTAAATTTTGGCATGTCGTCGTCAATCGCGTGAAAAATGCATCACTGGGGTTTATTTCCAAGAGAAACAAATACATTTTACAAATTAAAGGTATTTAATATAACATTTTTAATTTTTTTACGATATTATTTTCCATAACCTCTAATTCATATTCGTTTTGTTTCCGATGGTTACAGGATTCAAAAAATTGCAGAAAGAGAATTGATACAAGAACTAGATGTTTCACTATCCCTAATAACGAAATAACCAAATATTCGTTTTATTTATTTCGGAAATGCAAAAAAAGCTGACGTCCCAGGTATGGGTTTAGACCATTGAAGAGCCACTTGAGAGAGCTTCAAAATGACGTACTACTCAATCACCTTGAAGCGGTCGAGAATGTGTAAAACTACCCCCAATACTAAAATAACCAAATGTTTATTTTATTTATTTCGGACTCGCAAAAAAAGCTGACGTCCCAGGTAACAAATTAGGCCATTGAAAAACCGCTTAGAAGAGGCTAGTTTAACAGCAAAATTTATCATCAATGAGTTATCAATAAAACGACTTCTGATAACTTAAAGAGAAATTTCCATAAGAAATTTAAATAAACCATCATTGCCAATTTGGAAAGAAAATTATCCAAGTAAAATATTATTTGGATAAATGGATATAAACACAGGTAAAGTTTTATCATGTTCAAATTATAAGTCGTAATTGATATTTGATATAAAATTAACTTTTCATATAATTTTTCAAAATTATTTACACAATTCAAGTTAGTTTTATTGTTTTTGTCAACATTTACATGAATCATATATATGTGTAAGTATTTCAAATAGACGATTTTCAATTTGTTTCCCAAAATTGCTTGATAAATTTAAAATATTTTATTTACTCTTTTGACGGTAAAATTTTTTTCATGTTATAATCCTGTAGATAAAAAACAAACCATCATTAACAATTTCTCTATAAAGAATGCCTTCAATCAGTTATTGACTGATAATTTCATTCAAAAAATTACCATCACCATTTTACAAAGACTTATATCATCTAAAAAGAAAGAAATAATTTAAAAAATATATTTAAATGAATGAATGAAAACATGATGATGATGATAATTAATCTTAATTTTCTTTTAATATTTATATTATTACTCTTAATTTGAAATATTAGTGTTTTAATGTGTTTCATTTATTTATATATTTTTTTAAATTATTCAAGTTTTTTAAATTTTAATTTCCTAATATTTCTTTTTGAATGTAAAATTTTCCATTTATTTCTCTCAATGGAAATTTAAAAATTATTATATATTTTTAAGTAGACAATAAATCACTACCGACAACTTAGTTATAAAGAAAATCATTCATCAATTATGAAAAAAAAAAAAAGAAGACAATTTTATTAAATAAATGATCATTGAAACTTTGTAAGTATTCGTCGAGTCATCCAAGAAATACTTCATTTAGACACAAATTTCAATTGAACAAGTGTTTTTTATATTCATTTTATGTAACATATTACGTGTAATATCTACTACTACAAAATCAATAATTACTTTATATAATTTTTAATATTTTCCAGTTTAACACAAGAAATGTAAAACATAAATCCACACAATTTGTCAAACAAATTCGGCATTGTTCGACTTTCAAACAGATTTAGCCTTGGTCTGTCGGTTAGGGCGTCTGACTAGAATTCAAATTCTTTATGGCAGCGTAGGTTCGAAACCTACCTACTGCAAACGGCCACTGTTTTGCTTAAAATATATATTTTTTAATTAACAGCTCAGCCCAGAAATTTTCCTCAAATATGGGGTTGAGTGCATAAATTTATAAAAATATAATAGCCTTATATACCAGAAATAGTTCTACTTTTTCGTTTCGTTTTATTCATCTGCTTTTGTTCGGTATAGTTGCTGCCCTACAAGGCTTTTTAAATGTAATGAGTAAACGAGATTCACTGCCTCTTAAAGCACTGGTCCTCTCAATAATATATTTGAAACCACACAAAGATTTACATCTTCATATTTATGCAAAATTAAAAACAAGTCGAGTCTTATTTATAGCTGAAATCTTAATTTGATTCGTTATTCTAATTTCTAATCCATCTGGAAATGATTTTATGTTGACCAATTCTATAAGAGAGAGCGTTTGGACTCTATGTACAATCGTTAACTTCAGTAGGAAAACTAATTTAATTGTTTTAATGACAGTTAATTGCTTTAATGACAAGTCATTAGAACGTAACCCTTTTACAAAGTCATGGACATAACTAGGGCCCCAAGTGCTGTTATATCTTGGTTTACTTAGCCTTAGATTACAAACACCTTAAAAAACCTAGTTAGATTTGCATTGTTAAATAATTCTGATCCAAAAATAAGGCTGTACTGCTCTGAAAGAACTCAATGAGCCATAGGACTTGCCTTGTCTAAAATGAATAGTAAGGAAATCTAATACAGCCTAGGTGAGAAGTAATAACACTTCACTCCCCTCCTTTCGTAGAAGCTGCAGGTATTAAATGCCTCAAGGTAGCGCTCTGAACAGATTAAAGAAAAATATCCAGCAAATATTCTGGAATGCTTGCCTGACAAAATCCCTGCAGCCAGGGTAAGGGATTTCCAAAAAGGGTGACCTCTCCTGTCAAAAGAAGAAGGTAATTTGTCTGGAATTAAAAACAATAAATAACTACAACGCCTCCCATCAAAAAAAGGAAACCAATGCTGGCTGTAGCTCAATCAGCCTTGATTTTTCGTAAAACCCGTGGCAACAAGCAAAACGGCGGGAAAACATAGAAGAAAATGTCGCTCCAAAAAACAGTAAACGCGTCCACATTAGATGCGTCCGGATCTAAACTTTCTGCATTTTTTACTTAGGCGAGAAGCAAACAGTTCGATTTATGGGAATCCAATGTGCTTGTTATTTTAGCAAAAGCATTGTCCGAAAGGTACCATTCACCGTCAAAATTCAAATTCGTGGGTTCCTTATCTGCTTCAAAGTTATCGGAAGATCGAATGTAAGATGCTTTAACCCATAACCTCCTTTCTTCACACCAACCCCAAGGCACCTCGAAATTTCGTTTAAAACAGGAAATTTTACTACCCCTATTCTATTTACATACAAAATAGCAGTTGTGTTATCAATCCTCAAAAGTATCTCGCAGTTAGTCAAATACGAGGCGAAGCATTAGAGACCAAATGAGGCCGCAGTTAATTCTAGTGCATTAATATGAAACTGAGCTTCCCTAGGACCCCAAAGTCCTCTGGCACAATTCCCTTGGCATACAATTCCCCAACCCAAAGGAGTCCAATCTGAGAAAATCTCAAGTTTGTAACTTTGCTGCCTTACAGGGCATTCAGGATTCTGTAAACTTTATAGCCACCACATAAAATCCCTCCGTAAATTACAAGGAATTATCATCCAAGTATTATAATTATCGACAGAGTCTTGAAGGGCTAGATATTTGATTCTCTCAAAAATTCTTAGTATATACCCAACTGTAAGAAACTGCTGGGCAAACTGAAAACTAGCACAGCACAAAGCTCGGCAAAGACTCTTATTTTGCAACGGTTCAAATTGCAAAACTTACTTACTCATCAAAAAAACAAAACCTAAAAATTTACGGGATTTCGAAGGATGTAAAACATTCTTCTCATAATTAATAACAAAACCCAACCTAATCAGTTTGTTGCAAGTTACTTGAACATTTTTTAAGGATAGCTAACTATCACCAAATAGTAAAGTTATCTAAATAAACTATTGAGGGAAAAGCCTTGGCAGGGAGATAAGAAACCACAGATTTCATAAATTCTGTAAAGACCCACGGGGCGGTGCATAAACCAAAGGGTAACACGTTAAACTGATAACAGAGAGCACCAAAATAAAATCTTAGAAAATTCTTTTGATTTTCAATTATTGGGACTAGAAATTAAGCTTCTTTCAAGTCCAGAGTGGTCATAAAGGACTTCCTTGTGAAGAGTGTTTCTACTAATTTTCTGTCTTCAAGTTTAAAATGACAAGTGTCAATAAAAGCATTCAGTTTTTTAAATTTAAAACTAATCAAACCGAAGCATCCCATTTTGAAACAAAAAAGATCTGTGAAATAAATTGATTCTTACAAGGTTCGCAAACTGCAATTGCACCTATCTCTAACAGGTGTTTGACCACATTACAAATTGAATCTTTTTCTTGTTGGGACCAAACAGGATCTGTCGTAATGAAGTCCTGTGTAACTGGCCTCGCAAATGAAATTTTATATCCATCTAACCAAGGTAGAATCTGTGCATCTTGAGTTATAGAGTTCCAAATGTCCCGCAACTCGTGCAATCTTTCAACAAAAGTACTTACTATTTTTTCCTGAGGACACAACTCCACCCCCTTTCCTCTCAAACCTTCCTGTATTCCCTCTTTTGAGGGTACAATGACTTTCACCCACTTCAGCCTTGGAACTTCCGGGAACGAAGTGGGACGGTCGAGTTTAAATTCGTATGCTATAAAAGCCTTGTTCCGGATGCACATGACTAACTCGGCCACTAATCTGCAGCTAATCTGATTGATTTGAGCCTATCAGCCAAATCTTCTCCAAATAACCAAGAGTGCAAAGAAGCATCAACGAGCACTTCCTTCATACAAGGCTGCATTTCATTTGAGAGCAGCGAAAGGCTTAACGCGGCTGAACTTCTATATACTGAACCTAAATGGTGTATTTTGCTTAAAACAAATATTGCATTACTCAACGTTTCGATGAAGTAAGTACTACTCATCCTTAACCGGTTTCAAAAGCAAGGTCGAGAGCGCCCTAGCAACCACCATCAAAGCAGCCCTTGTTGCAGTCAGTCTCTCATCCCTTTTCTTTCCACCTTTGTTGATGGCAGATTTCATCTGCACATTCAAATTAGGAGTTATTGAGCGGGCAATTCTTCGGCACAGGATATCAACGCAAAAGGTCACTGAGACAATCTTCGGACACACCGGATTTCAAAAAAGTATTAATCTGCCTTGCCCAAATGTTATGACACATCAAACTTTGTGTTGTGACTATCCACCCCATGGCTTAAAGGCCATTTTGCTTTAAATCCGTCTCAAGGGGCTCAACAATGACATCAGAATTAATTGAAGGGCCTAAAAAATATACTTACGTTGGAGTAAGTGCATTCCAACAGCCATAAAAAATTGTTCATTATGTCACAGTATCCCAAGCGCCTCATCCATAGTCGGACGAGCCAGAAAACTCTATTTTTTCGATTTCGAAAAAATATAAAACCATATGTATGGCCGACCTCCTCACAAAAGGATTGCTTCCAATTGTGAAACACTTACATACGACTGCTGTCGTATA